CGAATTGAATTTCTATTAATTTGTTGTAGTTTTTCCTATTATAAATCAAATCTTGCCCGAAACTTCGTCCGCGTAGAATAGTTTGGTATTTTGGGCATCGTATTAATCATTTTAGCTAACACTCAGCTCACAAATTATAGCTGTCAGCCACGACGTCGTTCGCGTCCCGTTGTTCTTGAAAGGTAATCTTATAATGTCTGTTAATAATTGTAATAATAGTGTCGCGGACATTTTTTAAATCATTCAAAGAGGAATCATTCTTTGATACATATTTTTTGGCTATCTTGAACCGTTTTGGCAGCGTACGCCTCGGAAACCCATAAAGATGAATAATTTTTCCCTATTTTTTCACATTTTTCGCTTTATCTTCGCTTGTATTAGTCACAGGACGATTCTACATTACTCTATGTTTCTTCGCTCCTATTGATCTTGGTGTTTTATGGCCAAAAGCCTTCTTGATAAATGGTCTAACCGGCACAAAAATAAATTTCAAATCGAACCAGGTCTTGAGATTAGCGTTCGAACAAACAAACTCTTCAGTTTTAAATGTTAGTATAGATTAAAGCCGTTTAAATAACCGTCAGAAGAGCAAAGTGCCTTTGGAGGGCAGTTCAACTAGGTTTATGTTTATGATGGTAACCGTTAATGCATTTACTGCTCGACAGCTTATCTATAAATTTGCATATGCATCTATGCAATCCTTCGGCCTGATTACCAATATACTTGATCTTGGTATGTGGGGTCAAGCACTAAATGGCACAGACTTTCTCTCCCAACGTTAGGACTAGACCACGTTCAGAATAGCGATAAACCTAGCTTTCAATGTCGTCTTTAATACGGCAGATATGTTAAAATCTGTGTCTCAATTGTTAACTTGGTTCTCGGAAAAATCTAGGTAGGAAGGAAAAACTATACTACTACTAAGAAGGAAAATAGAAGGTAGGGCGCCTGATTTTCCTTCCACGTCATAAAACGACCAATTATTGAGATATGGCCAAGTTGGTCTAATGTTAGTAATGTCTGACTAATATCCAAGGTATCGTGGGTTCGATTCCCACCAGGATTCCATTTTTCTAATATATTTATAATTTTTATGAAATTTCATCTGGATGCCTGGATATTAAAAGTACATTGCAGTAATGGAAAATGTGTACAAGGATTGTCAGATTCTTAATTTCATCCTAATTAGCCGACTTCAAAGTAGGTTCTCAATTTTATTTGTATATATATGCTTCTTAATCGATATTGTTTATAATTTTTTTGACAATTTGATAATTCATAAGGATTCAGTTATTTTATACAAATATTTATTAAATCATTTCTATTTAAATTAATCAAAAATGTGTAAGTACTATTATGTGCGAAGTAATTTTTTTTCTCCTGTTTAATGTGTGCAAAGTGCTTTTTCACATGTTAGTTTCAAATGATAATAATATCATGTTTATATTATAAACATTGCGCGAGAGTTTTTTTTTTTGTTAAAAATTTATTCTGTGCAATTTTTTCTCAATCGTAAAATTTCTATTAATTTAATAGGTAAACCGGTTCGCGGACGGTGTGTCGCGGCCTTTTATCTGTCAGATCTAACGGTGATGTTAGGAATGTCATAACTAACGATGCAGATAGTAATAGTCGATAATTGAATGCAAATTTAGATGTCACGGTCAACGCTGTAACGGAACGATCGCTTTAAATAGACGAATGCAAAATTACGGTTCGCGACTCTACCACTTGTAGACTAGGACCGCCCCGGTGAAATTTATTTTTATTATTCAGCGGCGTGGGTTAAATGTTTTTAACACAGAGGAGTATAAAGTGAAATCACTTCTCCCCCTTGTGGGGTATGGGGCAAACAAAATTATGTACAGGTTCTTGTAAAGGTTAGGAAATAGAACTGTGTTAAACGCGAGAGACTGTTAAGATCGTTTAAATCTGGCAGGACAGAGAAGTCTGATCAACTAACTACTAGACTACTAGACTACATAGAGCCCATCAGTGAAAAGGACACAGATATGTGTTCGCCCCCTGCCCCATGGGGGAAACGGGATTTCACAAGTTAACGAAAGTAGTTGATCGTGCATCTATGCCTTGCCCGTCTGAAATAATCAATTTTTCCTCGGAATGCAAACACAGGACCTCTCGCGCTTAGCGTAACGCTAGGATTTAACCATTTAGCTACAGAGGTGGTATACTAAGCATAATCTATGCCATCTTTATAAATCTGCTTCGTGATATATACGCTTGTTAAATAATTGTGAAATACAAAACTCAAAAAATAATAATAATTTATTCATGTACTGTAACAGACATACAAATGTGTCTGTTTCGAGTACGGCATTTAACACAAGTTGACCGTCGCTTAAAAAGCTAAATATAAATTACATTATAATATTGTGTTGTGTGTGTGTGTTGAAATAGATTATTTAACATTTTTGTTACGATGCTAATAGCGATTACCAAATTCAGTGTAATTTTTATAAAGTGCATATAAGGGAGCTGTGTTTTGGTCTGTTGTACGCTTCATTGCATTTTTAGTATTAGCAGTTGGGTAATAACTTACAGTTAAAAGTGGTTTTTGAAGTGCTATATTTTTTATGCCTTATACTAAGTTTCCCTACATTGATCAAAGTAAAATTCTTTAACGAAAGTTTTGCGGATGTACTGCACTTAGTACATTTAAACTGAGAACCTTTTGCTCTCACGCGCTCAAAATGTTAGTTAAATAGTTGGTTTTAAATAAATTAAAAATATTATCTATGAGTTAAGGAGAAGAAAAGACGTGTAGGACACGGTAGTTCAGTTAGTTAGAGCAGCACGGAACGCTGTAGGTGCCCATTCAAGTCCTGCCCGTGTTGTAATTTTTCTTCAATCTCATTAGATGTGAAAATATTAGTTTTTCAAAAATGGAACCCGTTTAATACGATCGCGCTTAATACGATTTACCGCCCGAATCGAAACGACAAAACATGTAAATCACAAACCACAAATTAAACATAAAAATCTTTATGTCAAACCAAAGTAAGTGATCATTTTACATAACGTAATTATAATAACACTACGTTTTTAATAAAATGTATAATTTACATACATATACCAACATGAGAAAATAACACGCAGTGTGTAGTGCGTTTTATTTTGGGAGGAACCGCTCTAACAAGGAAGAATAACAGATTGTAACAAAAACTTAACAATAAAAGGAGTGGCGGCGAGTTTTTTGCCAATTCTTCTCGTTCGTTCTACGCGTAAAACTTGAGAACCGGTAGTTATTGCTAATTTTGAGTTTTTTGTTGTTTTGACGTTCAAAAGTGTACCTAGCTTATGAATAAATGATTTACTCTATCCCGTTTATGACGCGCGTTCGGTGAGAAATCGTCTTAAGCGAGTGTAGTGTTAGAGTAACACACACATTAAAACGTCAATTTGGACACCGTAAAAACAAACGCAGCGATAGTAACGAGCAAATCAAATACAAGAAACCAATGAGTAGGTCATGAGGAACAGAATTCAATGTTTCTTGTAAGGAAGTGTCGCTAATGTGAGCTCTAGACAGTATGCAGAGCGGAACGGCTGTCACATAAAAGATGATCAGGCTATGCGGATGGCACACGTATAACCACCTATACACACGCTGAAACCGAAGTTTTTTCCTTGTATAATGGGTTCGGGACCCGTAGGGAAATTTCGATATTCTTACTGCCTATTTAATATCCAGATTTCCAAATGAGGCCCACGTGTTTCAGAGAAAAATATAAATTAGAATCATGCTGAACGCGGTGGGAATCGGACCCACGACCCGTCTGAACCTGTCTATATGTTTTTATATTTATTATTCTTTTTTTAAAATTCCTCTTCTGGATGAAACAAACTATAAATGCACGTACGTGTCTTATATGTCTTATTAACAGGTTTGAAGCTCTACTATGTCATATGAATCTTATGGTGTCAAATAGTTATATAGGTCATCAAAATGCGCTTTTGCAAACCTCCTCATCTTTATAAATTTAAGCTGTCCACGACATCGGTCGTGTTTGGTCAGCTTACACATCGGAAAACCACTGAGATCAATAATTTCTCCCTTTTTTATATTTCTCACTATTTTTTATCTACTATTGGTAGCCAATTGATGTTTTACAGCCTAAAGCCTTCCTCGATACATGCTCTAAACAACACAAAAAGATGTTTTAATTTAAACCAGTAGTTCCTAAGATCGCATTCAAACAAACAAACTCTTCAGCTTTATAATATTCGAACCTCGATCGAAATAACATATTAGTAGAGTTATTTAAAGTTTTTAAAGCATTAAAGGAGTTTTATTTCATTGTATAGGAACTACACGCGTGAACTACTAACGTGCTCTCTGGTGGAGGAAAATATTTTATTTAAATGGAGGAGGGCACAAAGAACTAAGCCTATTTTTAGATTTGAATATTTCTAAATCCACAGACTGAAACCGAAACGCGATTATTGTATACTAGCTGGTGCCCGCGACTCCGTCTCCCCAGGATTAGGATTACGTAGTATCGCGCATTTAAACTAAATGATCTCTATCATATCATACATTATATAATTATGTGTAACGCCAGAATAGCTCGCAGAAAGGTAGGTTTCTTCCTAGTTACTTGACACTTAATGCCATATTTTGGACAGCTCACACAATATCTTTATAAATTGTAGCCTATGTGTTATTCTGATGTATAAGCTATATTATGGGAAAGTTTAATTGAAATGCATTCGGTAGTTTTTGCGTGAAAGAGTAACAAATATCCATCCACACATACAAACTTTCACGTTTATAATATTAGAATTTCTGTTCTACCATTAAATATGCTGATATTTAAATGAAACACTAATTAACGGTTAATAATATTAATAAGTCAACTTATACTTACATTCCGCGTTTAAAACCGTTAAACGCATCTTAAATAAATGTGTCACTTAAACTACAAACATACTATAATCCTATATGACAGAACTATGATCATAGATGGTTTTTTTTTCAGTCCTCAATGTCGCTGCCGGCAAGGCGCCTATGCAGGTCTCCACTGAAGACGCAGGCGCACCTCAAAAAGCTTTAGATGGGAGCACAGCGATCACCTTCAGTCCGGAAACGTGTACCCTCACGAAAAAAGAAAAAGTGCCCTGGTGGTACGTCAATCTCCTGGAGCCGTACATGGTACAATTGGTCCGCTTAGATTTCGGGCAGCCGTGCTGTGGTAAGTATTAATATTATCAAAGTCAAAAACATTTATTCACGTTGCTACACTTATGAACATCACACCAGTTAAAAACTAAAGCCTCTATAAATTTACATTTACTAGTAGTTCTCACATTAAGGGAAGAACGAACGAGAAGAACTGGCAATAAACTCGCCGCCACTCCTTTTATCGTCATATTTAATTTTACAGTCTCCGCGTATGTTAGGTCCACTATATATTTTTTCTTGATAGAGCGGCTTCCTCCACATATGTTCACTAGTTGGTCCGGCAAACATTTTGTTGTTTGCAAGATTAATAGTATGGTGATACAATTCTAACAAATAATGCATTACTTTCTTGTAAGTAATTTAACGAGGAACCATTGTTACAACTTTTTGGTTTCTTGAACCGTTTTCGCAGCGCACGTAGTAGAAATCTACAAATATAGATATTTTCATAAATTGTCTATGTAACAATTATTAAATTCGTCTCAGTAGTTCTTGAGGTTAGCGCGTTCAAACAAATAAACTTCAATTTTCAAATATCGATATAGATTAAAACATGTAGTTCTACTTAGGCTGTAGGTAATACACCTTGTGTACGTTTCCAACTGAAACAATCTTTTAAATGAAATACTTTAACGGTTTAAAACGCAATATATATTAATGCAACTTGTTTCAAAATGATATTAACTACGGCTTGACATTTCGGATGCTTTGCAGCAGCCGTTGTCACGGGGAGGAACGAAACGTCTGGCCATATTTAATATAACCTCCAAACAAGTTTAACTAATATACATCGCGTTTTAAACCGTTAAAATGTTTTCTTTAAATTTGTACTACTCGCGCAAACTACAGACAGTACCTATAGATAAATCTCGTTTAGATGTTATATGGCTGGAGTATTTCACCAACCATGTAGTGAACCACATGGTTGTCTGTCTTGCTTTATCATTAAAAATATTCTACTCTCTCCTCCTTATATAATGTGTAATAATATGGAATTTGTTTTATTGAATTCAGCGAGTATAGAGTGATAAGTCTATTCACTGAACTCACAGTTATCAAGATCTACTTGCCTTAAATACGCGCTCGAGCGTAGAATTCTTTCTTTGTTTTTTTTCATCTACTTTGTACCTTCGGAAAATTTGTATTTTTTTTACTGATAGAGAAGGACAGACAGAAACAAGATGCGTTGAAGATCTAATATGGCTTTGGTTATCGGGAAATCCGGACCGAAAGCGAAGTGGGATTAAAATTCACGTATTTGCCATCATTATAAATCTTTCTGTTAATAGAGGGATTATGCATTAGTTTATATTCATGAATAAGAATATCCCAATTGTATAGAGAGTATCGTATTGTACTTTTATTGTTAAGGTACAATTATTCTAGTGTAATACATTTATGTATTAAATTAACACCGATACCCAAAAATAAATAATTGAATATACATATAGACCTAACAACGTATTACAAATAAATACGAATATAGGTAAAAATAATATTTTTTTGTTTGATATTACATACAAGGTATCTATGTTAAAACGATAAATTAAATCCATATAAAAATAATCGATACAGTTTAGCGTTGTTACAAAATTTGTATTTCTTAACTTACCTTTATTTTATACCTCGTCCGCGTAGGACAGTTTTAGTCACTAAAATTTGTTTTAGCAAACCTTCTCCACATCTTTATAATTTACAGCTGTTACCCATAACGGTCCCTCCTCGTTTTGCAAAAACCATAGACATACTGTAAAAAATATCCGCGATACTATATGTGTATATTTTAAGAATTTGCCAAAACGACAGGACGCGACCGACGTCATAGTTCGTGGTCAACTTTGACGCGCATAATTACTATTCTATAGGGGCGCAGTCGCTGAGCTAGTTTCATATTATCATTTAACCCTAGGTTTAGAAAACCATAAATACCCAAGCCCATCATGAGCGGTTATCTAATAATAACTCGACGAAGCGTTTCCAACTTTCCTCGCTGATTGAATGTGTAACCTATAATTTTATAATGGCTCTGCGGTTAGGCCTCGCTAACATCAAATGAAACCTCGGGATGAAAGTTTGAAACAATCGGACGCAACGAAAGTGCGCTGTGTGCAAAAAGTCGATTCTCACAGCTATCGAAGATTCTGCTGTTTTGTATTGACTGCACTTATGAGGGTTCGCACGACGCTGTGACCCAATTATTCCTCCTCGTCGCATAAATCTCTATTATTGTACGACTAAAGTGCCTGAGAAAACATGTACATGTATGTACTATGGTCTAACCGTTTCAAAGGCGATACATATAAAAGTTAACTAATTGATTTAACTACAATACAATTTTGAATGCTTAGCAGCCGTGGTCACGGTCATAGCACCCGGAACGTCGAAATTAAATAAAAAATAAATAAAGCTTATTTAATTTCCTCCCCCACGACCACTGCTGCTGCAAAGCCTCCCAAACGTAGCTGAAATATGTTAACTAAAACAGATAAACTACAGACCGTAAAGATTAGGCTTTAATTATTATTTTCTCGTCTGCAGGCCCGAATAACCCAGCTGTGATAGTAGTTCGCGTGGGCAACAACCGGCCAGACCTCGGCATCAATCCGATCTGCAACCGCTACATCGGTTACCTGGAGGAGGGGCAACCCTTGTTCCTACCATGCAACCCGCCGATGCCTGGTGCGTTCGTCAGCGTACACCTGGAATCTACCACAGACAGCCAGTTGTCGATATGCGAAGCCTTCGTGTATACGGACCAGGCCTTGCCGATAGAGCGCTGCCCCCAATTCCGCGACCAGCCACCTGGTTCGACCGCAACCTATAATGGAAAGTGCTACGTGTTCTACGATCGGCAACCAGCGAGCTTTAGGGACGCTCTTGCATTCTGCCACTCCCGCGGTGGGACCCTCGTGGATGAGAGCAACTCGGCGCTTCAAGGGTTCATAAGCTGGGAGTTGTGGAGGAGGCACCGGTGAGTACAGCTGGCGTTTAGTCATTAGAAATCGGACATTTATTAGTCTTACGAGTCTTAGTTCTTTTGCCACACAATTGAGTTATTTACAAATAATTTAAATAAAACATTTTCAACGATGGCAATATATAAATAAAAAATCGATATATATCTAATCTAATGGATATATAAATTGAAATAAATTACGACACGAGCAGGAGTTGAACCGACATCCAAATCGTTCTGTGCGGTTGCTCTAACCAATAGATCTACCGAGCCCACACCTCATCGTAGAATTTTTTCAACAATGCAACGCTCTCGCGCCATCCTGTGCAAAATATAAAAGTTTTCCCTTAATAGTTTAAAACCAAAATATATTTAACTTACTTACTTATTAATATATTTAATTAACTTACTTTTAATCTATATATTTTGCGTTTTAACCCGTTAAAAGTGTTTTATTTAAATGTTCTACTCGTGCCAAGAAGCAACACCGTTTTGAGCAAACAATACGTACTCGATTTGTCGTAACGGATCAATGATAAATGACATCATGAGTGGCATAAAAATGTATCTTACTGTTTCACATAGTGCTGATGCGAAATTGATGTTAGCTCAGCTATTAGCTGAGCTAATCTTGCGCTGGCGTCGGCTTTGCGTAATGACATGGTGGATAGTGATTGATGCTCCAGCTGAATGAGGCTTTTGTAACAGTTTTTCTTAGGGTGCGTCCTTAATGTAATAGTGACACTTTTAAGAAGGAAAATAGACAACTGGCTGTGTCAGCGACTACGTCCGCATAACTATTATTTTGGTTATCCAAATTAGTTTTTTTGCAAAACTCTTCATCTTTATAAATTTAATCTGTTACCCACGACGTCGTTTTGTAAATTAACCTTAGTTGATAAACATAGTGTCGCGGGCATTTTCTATATTATTTAAAAAGGAACCATCCCTTTATACATATTTTTTGGCGTTTCGCGTTCCTCATTAAACTTAAACTACCATTTAGAGCGTCGTGCGCCTACCGTTGATCTTACAAGTTAGTTTTAAAAGATAGACATATTCTATCGTAGACTTTTTTATCATTTAAAGAGGAAGATGAATAATTTTTCACATTTACCACTGCCTGTTTTTGTTTGTGAGTAATTGAAGACTGTAAAATTAAACTTAGGGGATAAAAGGAGAGGCGGCGAGTTTCTTGCCATTTCTTCTCGTTCGTTCTGCGCCCTTGATTTGAGAACTGGAAGTAAATTTAGAGTCTTAAGATTTTTACTGGTGTAACGTACTTCTTTCGACTTTGATTTTCAATGTATTTTTTCCACATTATAGATTTTTCTTGTTCTTTAATTTCCATTATTTGCTAAAATTAGAGCTTTTAAAAGCAATGTGTATGTTTTTTCGTAGCCATCAAGCATAAATACACAATTACATATAAACAAATATTATCTTGTAGTCAGTATGTTAGAGTCCTGCAATTATTAAAATATGGATGAAATTAAATTGTCGAACTATAGAGAAGTAAGAATTGTTTATTGAGAATGATCCTTTAGTCAATGTGGAAAGACAGCGAATATGAAGCCACTTCGATACAGAAGCGACAAGTGACATCGTTTTCAATTTTCCATCATGTGTGATTTATGTAATCTTAACTTACCCAACATTGATGATACAGGAAACCGGTATATTTCATGTATCGTCTGATCGAATATGATCGAAGCCATTGGTACTGCTCGAAACTCAACTTTTTCAACACGCTTTTCAGTTATTAAAGAAACATCAATAATTAATAAACAAAACCACTGTTTAAGTAGAGTTTGTAGTTCAACTATCTTCTGACTTATAATAAACATTAATTATTTTAGTATTAGAAGAATTAATAAAATAAAAAAGGTTGGGGCAAAACTAAAACAATTTGTAAATACGTTAACGACGTGCTGCCCTTGCTGACAAAAAGCAGAGTTGGGACGCAGAAAGGGCATTATAACCAACCTAGAGGGGAAATCGAGAATCTCGTTGACCACAGCACCATAACCCAGAAAGCAGTACTAAGAGGAAGAGACAGATGTTAATCCGACCATGTCTCCATTCGATCACTTGATCCGCTAACGTAACAGAACCTGTGATTGATTCAAATTGGGAATCCTCAATACCAGGCCAGTTACAGTTTCAACTCACCGCTATATTATATGCCGTTAAACTATTGTAAGAATAACTGTTGCTCACTATAAAAAAATTATTAAGTTTAAATTAAACCAAGATGCGCTGTTGTCCTATTTCGGCTTTGGATATTAAATCCACAGACTGATACCGAAACACGATTAATATTCACGGGCTTTTCACTGTGGGCCCGGTGGGAATCGAACCCGAGTGATTGATTAGAAAAATATTGGACCTGGTATTGCTACCTACCTACCTACCTTACTAAGCCCGTAAAAACGCCTCGTAAATTAAGAAATGCTTATCGTTGAATATTCAATTTTAACATTGACAATGCTGCGCGAAATCGGAAGACTTAGCATTTTAATTATTATCGGATTACGACATTTAATTGTTTTGGCTGGACAATGTGGGCTGAAAATAAATAAAAATAAAAAATATTTTATTAATTTAATTTTTTATTTAGCTCGACCCGTACGGAATTTATTTAATTGGGTCATAATTAGAAATTGAAATTTCAGCACCTTCCCGTTGTCGGATTGATCTGAAAATTGGTATACACATTTAATTTAGATGATTACAAACTCAAGATGGCCGCTGATACAAAATGGCGGATTTCATATGTTTAACCCCCTCAATATTGGTGTCAAATGAAAGGGCTACACTAGTAAAACACGATGATTATGTCATTTGTTTTTTGTAGTTTTAAGTGCACAAAAATAAAGCGTTTTTCATGTTGATACTTATTTGCCGTACAAAGCTAATTATACATTGAAAAGGTAGACAATGAGTATGAGTATTTTTTTCTTATTTACTTACATATAACTAAACTTGTTTGAATACTTACATATATGTACTTTGTAATTTCTGTAGACAGCTTTAGTACTTAGATCGTTTGTGGATCAATATAATTTATTACCTACATTAAAAATCTTGCGATTCACCTCCGAATCCGCAAAAAGTCTACAAGTTTTATTCACATCATTAGAATTTCTCGTTCTTATGGTACGAAATATTTCATTTTATTCTAGGTATCGCTGAATTAACGAATTTATCAAATTGGTAAAAACTACCACGGCCCGACATTTCGGATGCTGTGCAGCAGCCGTGGTCGGGCCGTGGTAGTTAAATTAATTCCCAAAAAAGTTTACATACATCGCGTTTTAAACTGTTACAGTGTTTAATTTAAATGTGTACTCGCGTAAACTATAGATAGCATTTAACATTGATATTGTTGTTTATTACTAAGAAAAAGACTAGTATCTCAAACTAAAAAGAAATCTCAGCTATTTTAAAATTGTAGCATAGTCTGGCTTTATTTGTCTGAAAGGTTTTTGACCTAACTAACTGGCACTAACGTAACGTAACCCGTGTCACTCATGAGGATTAATTTCACAGGAGCGACAGCAGTAGCCAATACTGGATGGGGGCAGTGCGTGACCCCCAAGACCCGGAGAACTGGAAGTGGGTCAACGGCAATGACGTCACCATATCGTTCTGGAACGCCCCCGGCGGGTCCGAGGGATGCGCACGATTCGACGGCAGCAAGGGTTGGCTCTGGGCGGACACCGACTGCCAGATGAGATTGAACTATATATGCCAGCACCGTAAGTCAATTTTTAAAATTACCGCGATGCGATTTTGTTTGCTCTTTGCGACGTCATCGTGCGAGCGCGAATTGTTATATGGTGAGTGCGTTTTCTATAGCGTTTTTGTCTTGTTTAGAGCCACGAACGTGCGGTAGGCCGGAGCAACCTCCGAACTCTACGATACAAACTGAGAGTTTCGATGTAGGAGCTACTGTGGAGTACGCGTGTGATGCCGGCCACGTTCTTGTCGGGCCAACGGTTAGGACCTGCTTGGAGACGGGTTTCTATGACGAGTTTCCACCTGTGTGCAAACGTAAGTTCAACTAGCACTCGAAGCACAATTCATGTATCTATTAATAATAATATGAACTAAAAATAACTAAATAACTAAACTTAAACAGATTATATAAATATACAAAACAAAAAATGTTAACTCCTAAAACAAGAGGCGCTCAACATAATGGTACGAAGACACTTTTGTAGCAACACTGATTTTCAAAGTACAAAGTAAAGTCGAATTTTTTGGTCTATGACAGGTCGATTCCCCCCATTATGCTTTCCTTCGGAGAGGATATGTAGTATTGTACTTGACGAAGGATTGAACTTCTGACCTTATAGATGTAATAGCGGACAAATTTTTAAATTATAAGCATGCTAATTAAAACGACCATAGTTCATTCAATTAGAAAAAAATTGTATTGCGCTTCCTCTCTATTAACGACAGTGGTCTATCTCGCTGGTTCAGCAGCCGCTGCGAGCGTTCAGTGTTAGTGTCCCGTGCACGCGTTAGCGAATTCCTAGCCCTATTTCCTTCAAGTCGCTGCGACGATCTTGCATTTTGTTCTGTAAGACGAACCTGAACGTTCGACGATAGAATCTCTGGATCGCGCTTGGGACGCCTACACTCTAATACTTTCCAGACGATCATTTTAGGAAGAAGACTCTCCAATACGACGAACTTTTGCTAATCTCGCTTGGGAACTATTCTTAGATAACTGCGACCTTCTTCTTCTAGGCATATTGCTATGAAGGATGTTTATTTTAAATCAGATAAATTAAGAATAAACGAATAATAATACAAAAGAAAATATTCAAGTTCAAAGAGATAGTTTTAGAGTATCATGCAAAGTGTGATTTCTAATACTAAAACTAAGTAGCTTTGAAAAGAACTGTTTAAGTGAATCATAAAAATGTTTAAAAAAAATCGAAATATTCAATGTCGCCCGCACCCACTGCGTAAGGAGCCCACTGCCCCTCTATCGTCGAATTAGTTACTCGATGCGCGGCGTGGCGGCCGACGCGGCATGTAATTTCCGGCGCCGATTTCAATAATTAAAAAAAGTAATCATCAGGTATTGAGACAGTCTTGAATATTAAATTATTTATTTGGATACAAATTTATAAATAGTATGGATAACACGGTCTGATTTTGATCGGCATTTCTATCAATTTGTTAAATGTAAAAAAGTAGTAATAGTGACGTAACTACAATAGTTAGACATATGCTCTCGTGATGTTTTTTGTAGATGTTGATGTATTCTATAATATTGTCGAACATTTTCGTCCTAGCGTAGCGTATGCGAAGAAAGACATTTTACGGCTAATTTTTTTACGCCCTCCGTTGGTTTTAGTAAGAATTTCTATAGATGCCTATAGTAATCAAGTACTAAATATAGCCTATGTTACTCAGTGATAATGTAGCTTTCTAATGAAAAAGAATTATTAAAATCGGTCCAGTACTTTTTGAGTTTATCCGTTACATACAAAAATACAAATCTTTCCTCTTTATAATATTAGTATAGATTAGACAAACGCGGCACTTAGGACATACAGACAGTTACTTTCATATAATTATAATTTTAGTCACAAAGAAAAATTGATATATTTTTTATTTTTTTCTTGTCTGTTATAGGTATTGACTGCGGTTTCCCAGCGGCTGTAGCACACGGTAGCTATGACCTGATCAATAAATCGGTGTCGTATCTATCTCAAGTGCAGTATGTTTGCGAGCCAGGGTACGAAATGGTTGGGAGATCTAGGCTTGTATGTGACATCGATCAAAGGTGGAATGGCCCTCCTCCACGGTGTGACGGTAAGTTCTTTCGAATTTTGGTATTGGTGTCTGATTGCTCAACGCAGCTTGAGTTTTCACATGAAACATTAACGCATTTTGATAAATAAAAAAATGACCTGTTTTTTTAATGATAGAGGCACCAAGTGATCGCCAGGCTCTCACTTGATGGTGGATGATATACCTACCCCCTCATCTAAACAATAAATCTAAATGCGATTTAAGTTAAGTCGAGTTTAGGTCTAACGTAGATTTAATTAAATCAATAATTTTAATAAAACACTTTAACGGTTAAAAACACGATATATATTAGTTAAAATAATAAGTAATTAAGTAAACTAATTACTTGTGAGTTAAAGTAATATATATCGCGTTTTAAACCGTTAGTCTTTAACTACAGACAGCAACTATTTAAATTTCAGTGATACATTGTGAGCCGATTCCGACGATCCAAAATGGACGAGTACTACACTCCAGTAACGAAACCGTGTATGGTTCAGTTGTTGAATTTCTTTGCGCGAAGGGATTCAAGCGACACGGGCCGAAACGTATCCTTTGTCTTCCTGCTGGCACTTGGGATAGCCCACCTCCGCACTGTTATCGTGAGTATATATAGAACTAGCTGTATCAGGGACTTCCGCGTAGAATATTTATATTTTATAGTTATTTTGGGAGTCAAAATTTGTTTTTGCAAACCTCCACCTCATCTTTTAAAACATACCTCATTCTTACGTCGTCGATATATACTGTCGCGGACATTTTTTTTTTAGGTCATACAAAAAGAAATAATTCTTTCTCTCATGTTTTTTTGGTATCTTGAACCGTTTTCGCAAGTTACGCATCGGAAACACTCAAAGATTAAGAGATGAGAAATCTCCTCCACTTTTACCACATTGTCCACCATTACTGGGCTGCTATTAGTTGCAGCATGATGTTGTAAAAGCCTTCCTCGATAAATGTTCTAACCAGCACTAAAAATAAAAATTCGAACCAGTTCCTGAGTACAGCACGATCAAACAAACTCTTCAGCTTTATAATGAGTATAGATTTATTCTGGAGATTCTTTTTACAGCGGAGGAAATATCAACAACAACAACATCAACGACGACAACGACAACAACAGCCGAACCACCCACAACGATAAAAGTCACGGAAGCAACAACCGCATCCACCACATCCACAACGCAAGCGTCGACAACACCACGACTGGTTCTCCCCACAAGGCGGCGTAGACCGACAATTATCGAACCAAGACCAACGCCATTTAAACCACCACCGTCGATACCAGATACTACGAAGACAACAGAACGCGCTACACGGGCTCCAGTGAAGAAAGTAACTGATGTAGAGCACTCTTCAACTAGCCACGTCCCTCATATAATTGTCGCCAGCCACCCCAGGGAAAACCAGGTCATTTTTAATAAATGTTGTATAGTAAGAGGGTACAAACCCCAATGGCCAAATGTGTGTTCGTAGATGACAACTATTTAAATGAAACACTTTTAACGGTTTAAAATGCGGTAGTAGATTTAAATAAATTAACAAACTAATTCGTTGACTGTTATTTAAATTAATAAAAAATTAGTAAACCGAAATATTTCTTATTTATAAATGTTTTATTTATATGTGTACTACTGACGTACATGACAAACTATGTCGAGGTTTTGGTTCTAAGATATACCAGTATCTTCATGAAATTTCGTGACGCTGTTTCTGTTTATAGAGTGAAATCCTGTCTCCCCTGTGGGGCATTGAAAACACACTTCTGTGTCCGTTTCACTGATCGGTTTAATTTTCTGGTCTGGGATTTGAACCCATGAACCACTTAGCGCAATGCTAGGCTACACCTTTAACCATTTACCTACAGAGGCGGATAATGTTTCTTTATTAATACTTTATTGCACAGAGAGATCAACAAAAATACAAACGAAACTTATATACTAAAAATGCAATGGGCGGCCTTGTCGCTAACAAGCGATCTCTTTCAGGTGACCCAAATATTATATATAATAATAATAGTGTACTAAAATTGCAGGTCTTCGGCAACGGGAACAATATAAGAGCTGAACAAACGCCCAGGGTGAACGTCCCTCTGCCCGTGGACGGTGACAGACGGGAGCCAGTTGGAGCCAGGCTAAACATCGGGGCTGTGGTAGCTCTTGGCGCTTTCGGGTCTCTAGTATTCCTCATCGCGATCATAACCACGATCGTCATACTTGTCAGGAGGTAGGTACTAGATATAGGGAATGAAAGGGCGACCGCCCATTGTTTTGTGTCCTTGTTTCTTGTATGGGATCGTGGAAAAGAGATATAAACACTTGTAACGTCGTAATATGTGGGTAGGTGGCGCTTTGGAATTTTCACAAACATCTGAAACAGTCTAGTAAGTGCATACAAATTACATTATACTATTTTATGTGGTAAATTTGAACGTATTAATTAAGTATTGTCTTTCTACGAGAATAGTATATATTTAAATAAAACACTTTGAAGGTACACGCGAAATGTATTTGTTACTTATTTTTAACTAGCTGAACTGTCAAACGTTCTTTTGCAATCAAAAACGGTTCTTTAGAGTTTGTCTTTAAAGTTAAATATATACCGTCGCGGACTTTTTTTAGATCATTCATAAATAATCCTTATTTTATACATATGTTGAGTTTGAGTATCACAAAACATTTACGCAGCGCACGCAAGGGAAGCACTCAAAGATATACATTTCCCGTTTTTGTCATGTTTCCCCCTATTGATAGCAGCCTCATGTGTTTGGCCTTCTTGGTCTCAGCAACAAAAACATAATGTTATATTCGAACAACGTTTCGGATGCTTTTCAGCAGCCGTCGGGAGGATAGTCCCCCCAGTGACCAGGGCAATATGAAACCGTTTAAAGTGTTTTATTTAAATTACATTAGGAACAGTTTGCTTTGGTTATTTGCAAGTGATTACGTGCTCTGTGCTTCAAACTACAGATATATTATAGCTTTGTTATTACAAAGGTATGGAGTTAGTACCTTAAAATATAAATGCTACACCTGTATGTATATGTCACCAATATTTGACATTCCTAGGAGGGGCTTGTACTGCGTAGGTAATTTCCATATGTGAAAAACTTTATAATATCGAAAACGAATAGGCTTATAGCTTTTTTACTCCCGTTGTTAATTGTTTAAGTCTCTTTCTAGATAATTACATCTACGGATAGTGTATTTTTTCTTACTTGGCATTTTTGCTAAAAAAACACAATTTTAATGAAATCGTGATTTTCTCATAGGTTAACATTGATTTACTGACACATTTTGAGACGGATTATATATTAAACTAATCCAATACCTCAAATTCACGCTATCACTAATAAAATCCTAAAAATATATTAACGAAGATGCACAGATTAAAATTTCTTTACTTTCACATTTACACAAAGTAAAAATGGGATGTAAGCAAAGTCAATAGAAGGAAAAAGTCCCACTCGTGCACGATAGCTGAAAAGCGTTATAACTGAACTGAACTTAAATAATAATGACATAAATAAAATTGAAAAATAAGTCGTCACGAAGGTGATTTTGAATATTAAGATCGTTTGGTCCATATATAATGGATAGTTCTTTAATCCTATGTCATCTGTGGCAATAACTCCATAAAAGGACATCACTAGTTCGCTATGATTTAAAATCGGCCATTTGTTGTGGTCTTTTGCCAAGTTAGAAAAAATACACAATATAATACATGTTGAATGTCCGTATGTTCTGTGTATACGCAAGCACAGAATAATGTCTGTATGATGTAGCGGTGGTCGAAAGCAGCAAGCGGTGCCACAATTGCCGGCGCGTTTGTACACGTTGTTGGCGCTTCCTTTCCCGGACCAGCAAGTCGGGAGACGAGAGATCGCCCGAACACACAGACATACACATCGCGCCGGACACTTCTCCAACCCTTTATAGCGTGCGTTTATATTTTAAGGTACCGCACCGGGACATGGTGGCTGACAAACGCGAGAATCGAAGTAGTTACGCGAGTAGTACACATTTAATTCAAACTCTAACGGTTAAAACTCGAAACGTATTAGTTAAACACGTATAATATTATCGTTATAAACATGTAAATGAACTGTCTTAATTATGGAAAAGAAGACTTCCTAGATTATAATCGCCTCAGCGGTTTATAGCTTAAATGCGTCGCTTATATTGCATTAAGCGAAAGGTCGAGAGTTACGTGTCAATAAATGATACAAGCTAATCGGGTCTTTAATGTAAATATGCAATCAACTTATACAACAAACTTAAAAAATATATACTACGATATGTGTTCATGTATTAGGATGATAAAATAGTGAGTAGGTAAATAAATCAATATTAGTACAAACAGCCACCGTGTCACGCCATACACCCACGGGTAGCACAGAGAATAAATGAAATATGTATAAGATTCACAGCGCACAGCTTACAACAGAATTTCAGATCACGTTGATGTTACATTCTGATCTTGGCTTAGCACAGAGCACTGAAAAATCACGGAAGCTTTGCACCAATGAAGCACTGGAGATCGTACCAAGTTGCTTAATTATAGCTGGATTAGAGTACTATGTACCTAGTGATAGTACCATACCACACCACTTTGTATGTTCTCTTCTTTTCTATTCTATGTACCTTTACGCTCAGTTATAGTTTAAACACAAAACAAAACGAATATCCAAAATAGGCCGATAGCGCATCTAGTTTAGCATGGCAGGGGTATGTCATCCACCTTCAAACCCTATGCAGACAAGCATATCCTCTATTATAAAAAATGCAGGTAGCAATTGGGACCAATGTTTGAATCAATTCATTTTTTTGACTTCGTCTGGAATTTTGGATATGAATGGGTGGTAGGAAAACTAACCACCGTCCACACAGATGAAAGATTGGCGTTTTGTTGTCAGTCTGTGGATTTTCGAATATGCGAAGCCAAAAGAGGTCGTCATCGGATCTTGTTGATATTTTGTATGGCTAGGGTACTTTCGTCAAGATCCGATCCGATCCGATCATAAAAAATGTTTTAATGTTTTAAGTTACAGCAATTAAATCCAAAATTCACAAATGTAGAAGAAAAATGACGTTTACTTAATATATAATAGCCTATTATCTTTATATATATATAAATCTCCGATCTTACGATGTTTGTCCGCTATGGACTCCTAAACTACTAAACCTATTTTAAATTAAACTGGCACACCGTGAGCAGTCTGGTCCTACTTGAGACATAGGATAGTTTAGATTTTTAATTATAGTCGCAATTTTATTTTATTGCAAATTATTTGTCTATAAATAATTGACAGTTTCAATGGATTGAGTGAGTAATCGATAGATGGCACTGCTATGGTAAACCGACAAACCTGTCATATAAGCTACAATAATAAAATTATTTATATGGCAAAACAACGTTTGCCGGATCAGCTAGTATAATATAAAAATATTTGAAAACTTTAATATTTTTCACATGTTATTGCACATTTTTGCACTATAAATTAAAAATTGATTATGAATTGAAATAATATACGACACGGGCAGGACTCGAACCGGCATCCACAGCGTTCCGCGCTGTTGCTCTAACCAATTGACACGGTAGCTTGGTAAGATAGAACAACAACACGGAACGCTGTGAATGCCGGTTCGAGTCCAGCCTGCGTCGTAAATTCTTTCAATTTATAATCGTATTTTAAATATTGGGTAATAATTAAAATCGATGTCCCGGGCGTTGGGGTTAATATGTCTTGGGTTCAAATCTAGATACCCACTCAAGCTTAATCTAAAAGCTAGCTTATTTTGCGACTAAAATAATCTTGGATTCTATAATCAGCAGGAAGCACAAGGGCAAGCGCTACCAACACCACATCTCGCACGATTGTAACACGGTAGCGTCCCTCGGTTCCTCGTCGTCAGAGTCCCGCAACGGCCTCACTAGATACTATAGGCAGGCGTGGGAGGATCTCCACGAGGCCGCCGGGGGGCGCCGCTCCCGCCGACACGACAGGGAAGCCCCCAAAGACGGGTCAGAATTAGTCGTCTCCGACGTGTACCCGGCTCCGAATAAACGGCGACATCACCACCACCACCACCGCTCCGATTGGCAGTCCAGACACCACCACAAAGATTCTAAGTACTAAGCGAACCAGTAGATTTAGTTTGTCTTGGAGGTGGGACGTCGATAGTGGGTAGAAATAATTAAAATCCCACATGTTGATTTATTTAATTGATTAAACCCAGTTATACTAGCATACTTCAAGATTTTTCGGTGGGATTAGTGTACCAAAGTAATTTAAACTTATATACTAATTGCGTTTGAAACTTCTATTAAGAATTATTTGTAGTTTACGCGAGTAGTATACCTTTAAATAAAACACTTTAACGGTTTAAAATGCGAAATGTATAACTTATTTGAAATTTATTTTAACTGCTTTGCTGCTTCTTAGCCGCCGTGGTCATAAAAAACTAATACATTTCGCATTTTAAACCGTTACAGTGTTTTTGTTAACTACAATTGTTATGCTATTATCTTTTGCTCAAATTTACTTTATAATTTGAATATTAAGGTTTTAATAATTTCAAGATCTAAGATCCCACCTCCTACTAAGAATATATGCTATAATATTCCTAAGATGAACTGCGTAAAATAAATAAAAGACTGATTTGACAATCAGATTAATGAATTTGAGGCGTTATTTCTACTAAGTGCGTCAGTGAATATACATAAGTCAATAGCGTCATTATTACAGTATATCGTTCAAAGCAATAACAATCATGATTAACTTATGTTAGAGGAAAGTGTGTAAAAATAAGTTATTAATTTTCAGCGGGAATATATGAATTAGTAAAGGTCCATTTATTTAGTGCTACATTTTATAAAATTAGTACAAGAGTCCATTTATTTAGTGCTACATTTTATAAACTATTGTCCTTACGTACGATGTGAAATTTATTATTTTTAAACAGTTCATTGTTCTAAATCTATTTTCCTCTTGACATCGTCCTCAAGATGAGTCGTTTACCAAATCTTTAACTACCCACGTTATATTTAAATAGCAAACTATTTATACCTATCTTTCCATTGCTTCGGTTCCCAGTATTAATCTTAGACTTTATGATTTCGTGGTAGTCTTATTTATGGTACTGTTTTAATACAATCTTTTCATTAAAAACCACCATTTATTCACCCAACAACACAACTACAAGTTGGTGACATAACCTCAATAATTCAGAGAACACTTTAAGCCTTTGATACCGCGCCCGCAAACTTTAACTGGAACAGCAGCCAATATTTCTAAATCCTCTCCCAAGAGACAGGAGACATTTTTGGGAGCAGAGGGTAGCCGAGTGATCAGTCCACACCAGCCGCTATGTCACCCATTTCGGAGGATTTTGCGTTAACCCAACCCGACTTTTCTTTGAAAAATCTTATTATCTCTTCCATCTTTTGCTATATTATATCTTTTATTATAGTGCCGCATCCCATATATGTATGTTTCATGTAATAGGATATGCATTTACCGTTGGTTTTCACACAGACATCGAATATTAATAATGTTAGCTTGTTGTAACGTCAGCAATGATAAAAGCTTTCAACAATTCTCTTAACTTTGAACGATAACACGCGTGCTTTGAAGCTGGTAATTTTTATGGTACAAATAACTTCCCGTTTGAGTTTAAGTACAATTAAGAGACACTTGAATTCTCTTCAGTAGGTATGTGCCATTAAACAGGCATCGGTTATTGTTTAAGGTAGATAACGCCCTTCGATCGATTAATTTGATTTCATTTAGATTATGTAAATATTTAGTATTGTTTGTGAAACAGGAAGGAACCTTCGCTAGGACTAAGGTACATCAGATATAGTTATCGAGAAATATAATTTATGAAAGCACTAGAATCCTCTAGTGGTTATTGTTAGTTATTATTGTATAAATCTAATAGAATATTGTATACAACATATAATTAAAACTTTGTGATAATTGATATTTGTGTATTATTCGATTTTCACTCCGCGATTTCGTTTCCTAGCATTTTTTAAAAGCTATCCTCTACAAATAATGGATTTTCCGAAAACAAACTACAGATCCTTATATTAAGAAGGTAGACATCTTTATATGGTTTGTTATTGTGTTATCTTGCTTATATTCGATACAAAATAAACCGACAAATAAATGTGACGTTTCGATTTATTTTACTATTTGTAGAAATATACGACACTAGAAAAAAAAGCAAAAATATAATATTTAATACATTTATTTATAAATTACAAAATAGGAGGCCGCTGCTTCAGAGTAAGTAAACAACAGAATACGAAGCTCAAGCAGTAATTAGAATAAAAAAAATAAGGGGAAGTTGTGCGATCCAATTATCAAATATTCATGAATTTGAAGATAAGGAAAGTCAAACTTTTAACGACAATATTGCATCACATAACTAGGCTTCTAGATAAACAAATGCTAAACACTTGCATTTTTTGTGAAGAGGGAAAAGCTTAACATTCAATTTTAACTTGTGACAACGGTACCGTATATTCGACGAAAATATTACAGGATAATTGAAATTATAATTAATGAAAAGGAATAGATAACGAATGTTAATGATAAATCAGAAATCTAAGCTTAGTTTGCCCGCTGGTGTATTTTGGAAACAATAGGTTACTGATTGTGACTGAAATTTAGGCTTGAACGTACTAACTATATGCCGAGTCTCGTTGTAACACATTAACTATACGAGGTAACCATTTCTAGTATATATCTTCAAATCATTAACTGTCCATTTTATCATTAAGGATCTGTTATACAAAGGTGAAAAATATAAATATTAAAGATACTTTCAACAAATAAAACCAGCTTATTTCGCCTGAAAGTAATCCAAATTGTTAATTGAAATTGGGGCCCTTCCTATAAAATACTTTATTCAAATACTGTAAAAGTCAGGTGTAAATACGAATCGATAAAATGTCAAAACTTAAACAATAAAATTAATACTATCGACGACAGCAGACTAATGTAATCAAAAAAATGTCAGTATTAAAGCATGTCTACATATTAAGGCGCTGCTTAGAAAAAAGGTTATATTTTTCTTGTGCTGATTTGTAGGTTATGCTATCATGCGCTGTAGAAAAAAAAGTAGTAAAAGTGTAAAGTTATGGAATCGAAGAATTTTTCCCCACTCCCCAATTATTTTCACGAACGTTTTACTTTGCGAACTAGCATACTTCGCAAGAAACCACTGCCAAGTACGTAGGGAAAAATTCCTCAGCCTTATATCTTTAAAAAATGCACAATTTTTTTTCTACAGCACAAGTTAGAATGACGGCACAAGAAAAATATTGCTTTTTTCGCGTTAATTATGTGGCCGTTATTAAGAGAAAAGGGATAAAACTTTTCTAAAAAATAAAGCGTAAAGTTGAGTCTTCGAAATCTAACGGTCTATAGCTTACAACGTACAATTAGCTAAACGTGAAAAAATAAATATATTTCTTTAAAATTTGGTAAACTAGCTCATTTTTGTGACATCAATAGCCTATATACACAATTTCAACGCTCACCGCCGCGCCCACAGCCAGGCAAACCCACAACGTAAGTAAAAACCGGGTTGCCATCAACACTAAAAGAACACAAGTTTAACGACGGCACGACGGATGCCTCGCAGCAACCGTGGTCACGGGGCGGGGACTGAATATGGAGAGGTCTAACTAATATCAATGTCAAAATGAAGTCCCGCTCGTGTTGTTAGATATAGAGATTTTATCCAAGAAACCATCAAACGACTGTGAGCGCGGCCACACCGGCGATGCTTCTCGAAGCTTAAAAATAAAAGATACACTTATCTATCTATACGTAATCAGTTATAAAATTTCAATAAAAAAAACTGGTATCACCCCTCTATAATAATAGTGTAGTATAGAAGTAATAGTGTTCGCATAAGACAGAAACACATCAATAAATAGTTTATAAGCTAAGCATCGAAGAGACTATTAAAGCAACGGGTACATTATTTACAAATATATAAAGATATACATATATAAAAATATTTCTTTATCTCTTGCCACGGTAGTATATTCTAAGCAGACGAAGTGTTGAGTAATATAACATGTCTACGTTTTAACCATTTATAATTGTTACATAAAAGGGCATCAATAGGAACCTAGTTTATTATCGAAATGGAAAATCGACGTTTAGTCATTCGAAAAGAATAAAAAGACGTGAGATAGACAAATAACTTGAAAAGGTATATAGGTTCCTATCGCTGCCCAATTCGTCTAGTTGTGATTTATTTAATTCTATTTAAATTTTAATGTTCGTGGCACGTCCGGGAGTCGCGACCGCACTTTTCGCATTTGTACTCGTTCCTGCTGAAAAAAAAAAACAAATCATATTGAACAAACGCACAAATATATAAATATATATATATAATATATGCCTAATAAACAACGGGTCGTGGGTTCGGGTTCCCCATCGGGTCCAATGTGTCCCATCAATTAACTCACTTTTCTGAAACATTTCGTCGTCTAGAAATCTGAATATGTAAGTTGTAGGAATATCGAAATTCCGCGATAGCGATAAGCGAACAGCGCAGAAACAGCTGGAAATGTGGATGGGAAAATTTATCACCATAGAAAAGCCCTCTCCTTGCCCTCGGAAAACGATACAAGCAATCAAAACGACGAAGACCCACCAGACGACGTCGCGGGTAAGAGGTATGTTTTATAAAGCTGTGGAGATTTGCAGAAACAAATCACGATGCCCAAAATAACTACTCCATACGGACAAAGCCGCGGGCAGAGCTAGTTTAATTAATTTATTATTATGCGTACCGAACAGCTGTTTTCATCGCTTCGTGCGCGTTATGTCGAGCAGACAACTCCAATATTTCAGCTACTGTCTCTGCTTCCTGCCTCGCTGGAATTACAAAATTTACATAATTATTACATTATAGGTAAAACAATATGTACAGAGATACCTAGGTATTGACAGAAAAGAGTATTAAATTAATAGAACTAATAATTTTTTAGAAGGCTCTTTTAATAGGACACCCAATGCGACACTAATTTTCATTCTACGGGCTTCTGGGCGGGTATGGGTATTTCGTGTCTGCTCTATTTTATTTACAGACAAGTAAATACGTTACACATTTAAATAAAACACTATAACGGTTTAAAACGCGAAATATATATTAGTTAAACTTGTTCAACAAATTATTTTTAACGTTTCGGATGCTTTGCAGCAGCCGTGGTCACGGGGCAACTGCTAAAGTGTTTTATTTATAGAGAATGTTGTCAACGCAAGTGATCCTATAGTTTGTCTTCTTTCCCTAATCATTCTTCTTCTTGTTCTAGAAGAATCTAACCGACACTTACTACAATATGTTTTAAACGTGAATTTTGTTAGTATGTAATAACTTATATACCGTAATTATCATTATATTTTACATGAAAAGCGAAGTTCACCATACAATGTTTATTTTTAGCCAAAGCGTTATGATTCATGGTAGTGATGAGTTGATGATGAGATGAGAAATATTTGTGTAAAAGTGAATATGCATAAAGTTCAAAATTCATACACGCTGCAAAAGTGACCTCACCTATTCTAATATATGAAGCTGAAGAGTTTGTTTGTTTAAACGCGCTAATCTCATGAACTGCTGGTTCTAATTGAAAAAATATTTGTATGTTTTTTAGAGCATTTTCCTAGGAAGGCTATAAAACATCGCTCTGTGGCTAATAGCAGCGGAAAATGCAGAAAAATCAGGGTAATTATCCATCTCTATGAGTTACCGATGCGTACGCTGCGAAAATGATTCTAAACAAGCAAAAAATATCTATCGACCATTGATTCCTCTTTGAATGATCTAAAAAAATGTCCGCTGCACTATATGTCTATCTTTTTCGACGCGGACGAAGTTGCTGACACAGCCAGTAGTGAGAATGCAAAAAAAATCTAAATTCGTACACGCTGCAAAAGTGACGTCACTGTTTACATTTCTTTTAATTAGTACATATTCTTTGTAGTGACGTCATCAAACGTCAAAAGGAGTAAAATTTAGCATCAGTGGCTTTTAAACATGTGACGGTATTTCTTTAACATTTACATGCGCCTCCACTATTACTGTTACACAATTTAAATAAAAAAACGGTTTAAAACGCGAAATGTATTAGTTAACTTACATATATGTTGAAAAAACCCCAGACTGAGTGTCTTGGGTGTTCTCGGTCATGTTGCTCTTTGTAACATCATGACGGACAGACAGACAAAACATTTTTGACAATTAGAAAATAGTTTTTTAAATTTTGAAGTGAATAAATAATATTTATTTTTTTATTTTAGAAGCCCCTACCAAGGCCAGGGGAGCAGCTTGGGACTCACTTGGGATGGAAATCGTTCTTGCCTGAGTTTTTGTTGCTTGTATTACTATTTCCGCCTGATAAAACGAACAGTTAGCTACTTTATAATTTCGATTATTTCTGTACCATTTGGATTTATAAATTAAGTTTTATTTTGTAACATTGTGGTGAAAATAAAGTATTTTTTGTTTGTTTGTCGTTTACCATACGCAACTGCTCCTTTTCTGTTGTCTTTCTTGCTTACGTCTGTGTATTTTTGAAATCCACTCGTTACTCCCAGCATTTCATCTTGCCTTGTACTTTAGACCTTCCAGGTCTTGCAGTACCTCTCCCGTGGTTTTATAAATAAAAGCGGCCTCGTGCATCGTGAGGTATATAGTTAGCATATCAGCTAACGTGAAAATAGATAGCTAAGAAAAGAAAAGAAGGCGTAAAGAGATAGAAGTTTAAAGGTATACCACTCCCGTAAACTACACACAGTACAGTGTTGGTGTTCACAGACGCCCAGTGCTTGAGTTAATGATAATCAAACTCACCTACGAGTCTATGCTTAAGACGCTTCTCAAGTCGTGCTACCCTCTTAGCCCATAGAACGTCATGTTCCACCTTCTCACGACTCACTTGCGTTGAGCATCCGGCGTTCACTTCATGTTCATGTGCGAATAAGCATGATTTAATTGCACATTTTTTCACAAAGCATGATTAAATGCTAATATTTTTTACATGGCATGATTTAATTGCATTTTTTTTTCACATGGCACGATAAAATTGCATTTTTTTTACAAAGCATGATTAAATGCGTATTTTTACACCTAGCCTGATTAAATGCGTGTTTTTACACACAGCATGATTTATATAAAACCTTTAAATGGCTTAAAACCCGATATGTTTTTGGTAAAACTGATTTTAAATAAGGCCCGACGCTTCGGATGCTTTGCAGCAGCCACGGTCACGGGTGGCCACGGCTTTTAAACATTTAAAGTGTATTATTTAAATGTGTACTACTCGCGTAAACTACAATACTTAGACAGCCGAGTACGTGACAATATTGAACACGATGCGCAATCGACCTAATTCGGCTTTACATATTTTGAAATTAACAGACTGAACCCGAAATGCGATTAAACTACATAATCTGTTATCCGTGGACAGTGATTCGTGACCCGCATGGAATCTTCCACGCTCCTACTGTCCATTTAATTTACATAGTCCAAAATTTTTCGGATAAATTATAAACATATTAGACCCGACGGCGATCGAACCTACATCCGGTTCATTATTATTAGCCACGCATTGCTACCATTAGACGTATTTGTTGATAACGGCACAATTTTAGTATTATATAATATATAATTTTAGAAGATAGTAAATTTCTGAATCTATATGAAATTATTTTTCATGCAACAATGATAAAATTATTAACAAATGAACGATGTTCATGGATTCAACAATGCTAGCACATGTAAAGCAAGATAGTTAAATATGATGAATAAAAGGCTTCCTCACCAATGCGGCTGGGTGGGTCGTAGCTGGCTGGGGGCGGTGGTACTGGTGGGGCTTTAGCTTGACTCAGTCTTTGGGAGGTGTTTGTGATGGGGGGCGGTGGTACTGGGGGTCCTGGAAGTACACAACTTTTATATTAGAGGATGTGTAAAAGCATTGCTTGCCCACAGCTTGATAGGAGAAATATATATGTACTAGCTGTGCCCGCGACTTCGTTCGCGTGGAATAGTGACTTGGGGTAGATTTTTAATTATTTAGGCTGTTTTTTTAATTTATCTAATTGCGCATTTATGCAATTAGATAAATTAAAGCCAGTAGCCAGCAGCCAATCGATGTTGTAAGTGCTACTTTGCCGCAACACTCTCACCTCACATCACTCCTACTCTAAATCCCACTCCCACTCCCACCCCCACTCCTATTCCCAAAAAGCCGAAGAAGAAAGTTTCATTGTTCAAAAACCACGAATTTCCATACAAATTTTAACAACCTTTTAACCCCCTTTTCACAATAAATTGGCGTAAAAGAGTAACAGACAGACAGAGTTACTTTCCCATTTATAATATTAGTAAGGATGTCATATGTCAAGCTATTTTGGATTTGGATATTTAGAACTTCACAGACTGAAACCGCGACGCGATTAAACTTCACGGCTTTTTCATTTGTGGACAATATTACCCATTCAATATCCAGTTTTTCAAACGAAATATAAATTGATTGGAAACATATTGGGCCCGGTGAGAGATTATTGGTCATACCATTAGACCAGCGAGCCTATGGAATTAAATTTCAAGTATAACATTAATAATACAACATTTTGTCGTTCTCAACACACCTGGGACATCAAGGGGAGGTGGGGGTACCGGCGGGGCTTTGGGCTCCCTCACTGATTCTTCCACCGGCGGAGGAGGCACGGGGGGCCCTTCCAAAGTCCTCCTTGACGCGTAGTCTTGATTATTCTGTCATCAACATTGACAATCAAACATAGAAAGCAGCTTGTCAGAACAAATAACTAACATACAAAGCGACGGTTGTAGATTTGGCACAGAATTTCAATCGCCTATATGAAGACGAGACACAGAAAGCCATTGAAATATAGGATCAAGAGATTCAATGTATTTCCTTTACTGAATCATGCTACGATGAAAACACTATAGTTACACGAAGAGCCACAATAAGAACATAGTTATTTTGAAGACAACATGCAGTTAAGTAGTTTACGCGACTGGTACGTTTACATAAAATGCGGTTTAAAACAGTTTATTTACAATTTTAACTACGGCCCGTCGTTTCAGATGCTTTGAGCAGTCCCCCGTGACCACGCCTGCTGTAGAGCTAGCCGACCGTAGTTAAAATAATTTTGAAATAAGTTTAATATATATCGCGTTTTAAACTATTAAAGTGTTTTATATTGATTGTTAATATGTTTAAATTACATGCAGTTATTAGTAGGGTTGTTCAGTCCTTGGTATATTAGGAAAGAATGGCCCCAAAATGGGTCAAGGCATTTAAAAGTAGCACGAAAAAGGGATAGGATTGGTAACAATTTCCTTTCACGCTAGAAGAAATCACCTTTATAAACAGGCTCCGAGTTAAAAATTAGTCCAATATAACATTAAGTAAAAAATATTTAAATTATAGCATGCATAGTATTCTTTATATAACAAAATACGGTAATATTATTTTAAAAATCCATAATTACATATATTCAAAGTACACCACTGTACTTTAAAACTAACCAGTAAATGTTTAAAGTCACGCCAGTTTTTCTTTTGCCACACAAAATGTAAAAAAAAAACAAAACAAATTAAACAGAGGAAAATGTCTCATGATAAACGTATTATCTATTTATATTAAGTACTTTTTTATACTGTTCGAGTCCTTACTTTATGTATTAAACTACTCGTTTTTCTATAGTAATGAAGAAATTTGATTGTAAAACTGTATTATAATTGTAAATAAATATAAAACTTCGTCGGAAAAAACGATTTTACATTGATTATATTGGGTAAGTGAAGTATTATTTTGCTTCCCAGACCCGAGGGTATTTTTCTTAAACCCAAATACTGAAGTGGCCTTACACCTAGGTGTTTGTAGTTTTTTGGAATTCTCGAACAAAACACAAGCATATGAAAACTAGATGCATTTTCACATAAAAAAGGGGAGAATAAAGTCTGAAAATATTCGCCGTATATGAAATATATGTAGAAGCGAAGCGGTAGCAGTGTGACTGAGCGAGACAAGACAACGTCAAATAGCGGTTGATTCGTGCAAAGTGATGAACACAGCATGCGACTCACGATATTGTATTTGGAATGCTTTGCTTACGTGCGTCGTCAGGTCCGGCTCCGATACACACTGAAAATTTAACTATTGTTAGTCAACCCGGGTCCTCTCGCGTTCGCGATGGTGCCGTGTAGGACGCGCCATTGGTTAGGGTAAACCACCCCCATTTAGGTCTATGTTAAGAATTCGTCTATGTACATATCCACAATTTAATGAATAGTAAAATACATGAATTTAATGCGTGGCTAATATGGTCGGTGCATTAGAAGTCGGATGTAATCGCGTTTACCTTATGTCGAGGCCCCAGGCGCTTGTTGAAATAATTGGATATGCTCTTCATGAAGCTCTTGGGTCGGTGTTGTCTGGTCAGCTCTGGATCAGAGAACGACGATTGAACGGATAAGGCGGTGCGCGGAAGCGATGACGACCCTTTAGGGGCCGCTGGAAAGGGAGTCGGTTGAAGTGGCGCTCGAAGAAGCGGCGACGGAGGAGTTGCGAGGATGGGCGGCGGGGGGACAGGTGGTGGCATCAAACTTGAAGGTGAAACTCTACTTCTTCGAGTAGACTTCCTACAAACTTTAGCTCCGCCCAGCCGTTCCAGAACCAGCCGCTTGACCACCTCAATTTGGTTCTCCCTTTCCCGCTTTAGCTCTTCCACTCTGTTGACTTGGGTGCTCGCGTGGTTTTGCACTGTAGGCGTGCTTCCCGATATAGACCAGTTATTGTCGCAGGCTGGTGGATTGGCTTTTCGAGAATTCACGGTGAATGTTTCACTTGCCGATCGACAAATTGCTGGCGAGTACGTTCGTAAGTTGTGCGACCGCGGTCCACTTAGGGGATGTATCATAAGACTAGATGCATTGCCGTTTGTCTCGATTATCACAGGAGGCGAGAAATCTTGCAGAAAGTTTTTCCTGCTGACGCTGTTGATCTTAGACACGTCGGTTCTGTCAAAAACACTTCGTGGTGGCGCCGTTAACGATATGGATTGCATTTGAACTTTGGCCTTGTTTACCGCTTCGTTTATACTTACACTATCTTCTATACTTATGGGATTATATGATGAGCTGTTAGAAGTGACACTAAGACTAGCGCCCTCCTCGTTCTTTTCGTTTTTCATATCACTAGAGTTAGACGCAGTAGTCGGTTTGGATACGATTTCTGTGTCGTTCAACATGCTTTCCGATTTTGAGTCCGGGCTGTCTATAAATTCGAGGGTTTCCGATAAATTCGACGTTATTTTCTCGAGCGTATCGTTCGGATCAGATTTCACTGTAGTGTCGGAATATACTCGTTCAATAAAATTCATAGATCGGTCTCTGCTAGTCGAATATGGCTCGTAGTCGTCGTCGACCAATTCCATATAACCGTCGTTAGAGGTTACTGCCGCTTCCAAAACAGGATCCGGATCACCTTCATCTGCGAACTCGAAGTGCTCAGGGGCATTCGAATACACAACTAGTTCCGGACTGCCCCGGCCGCAGATATGTGTAGCTATACTCTCAATGTTTTTAGCATCGTGAACTAATTTAGGACCGCTCAACGATCTAGGATTTTTGTTCCGGTTTAGTTCGCTGTTCTCATCTATGCCACATTCGTCTAGCACCACACTCTCTGCTGCCCAGTCAGATAATTCTGTTTCCGTAAGCGCTAATGTGGTGGCGTCCTTGCACGACTCGGAAGATTCCGACTCGACTGCGACGACCGTTGGTCCAGATGACGTCGCCGTTCTCGACACTTTCTCTTCTGCTTCTTCAATCTCATTACTGACTAGAATTAAGCTATCTAGCTGTATAAGTTCTCCTCCTTCGTCGTGCACTTCCACCCTTGGCACAGATTGATTCTGCAGGACTTCTGAATTAGAGGAATCTGATAGCGAGTCTGTCTCCAGATCTGGTTCGGTTTCGTCTTTGATCGGTTCCTGGACTTTAGAAATCACAGCGGGATCCCCTTTCGTAAGCAAATCTACGGAGACTTGGTCGGCTAGATTTTTAATTATGTCCGGAATGGGCTTTTCAGGTTTCTTCTCTTCGCATATAATTTGGTGCGCGAGATATGTCGTAACGGGTTGGGGAAGAGGAGTAGCGGGGTTTAACATTTTCTGGAATTCCGTGATGTTCGAGCGAAACGCTTCGAGTTTGCTATCTATATGGGAGGTGGATTCTGACTTTCTGACAGTTGGTGGACTGGGTTCCCCTAATAAATATTTTCGCTTGAGCTCGAGAGCGCGTTTCGTCGCCAGTCCCCCAGCTGACTTGGTCCTGCTTAGCGGGTAGTCTTGCGGTGGCGGTACAATTGTGGGGGGAACTTCCGTGACTAAAATAGCAGGCGGGGCGGGTACAGCAATACTCTCTTCCCGGGCAAATTCACTATCGGTTGACACTTCAGTTGCTGATGATTTTTCATCGTCGCTCGAATCACTCTCGTCGTCGGTCTCCATCTGAATTAAATTTAGGTAAAAATGCAAAAGTTAATTATTTCTTTAAGGTAAAATTACTTATCTTACGAGATTACTTTCGTATACACATATATAATAATAATTATTGAAATATTTTTTCTTTCATCAAATATAATTGACAATTGTGCTTATCATATGATATTAACAATTCGGGTCAAAAGGAAGTTTTAACTAATTAGGAATAATTAGGCTTTGTAAAAGACATTTAACATATCTCCTTTTAAATGAAACACTTTAACGGTTTAAAATGCGATATGTATTAGTTAAAATAAGTTAACTGATATTTTTCGCGTTTTGAACCGTTAGTATTATATATCCTCTTTCCGATATTCGTCAGAAACTTTATCGACAACCTTTGAGGAAGGTGCGTAGTAATTTCCACACTAACGTACCGTTTGGAAATTTTAATCATTTTCATGTAAAGTTACACAGTATAATAAAGCATGTAAAATAAATAAACATAAATATTTATACGTTTGTGCGATATGTAGTAAAATTTTGTGTTTCTGCCCAACATAACAGCTTATACTAAGCGAAGAAGTTGGTAGTGTTATTTTTTTAATACGAAGCTTATTTACAGCGGGGTGAATATATACAAAATACATCGGCTATAATAAAACAAAACTAGGTTGTAATCCTTATGAATGGGAAAGGGATAAAAAGGTATCACACAAAAAATTACTAGGACAAAACAAAGAGAGAGCGTTTCAAAGGCATTTGCTTAAAATATTAATATACTTATGGGCATTTTGTAAGCGATTGTTTAAATTTAAAATGATAGTTTATTTAAATTGGGTTGGCATTGGAATCTGTTTAAAATAGTGTAATTAAAAAATAGTCTTTTGTTTCATATCTTATAGCCGACAAAGCTTGCACACAACAACATCTAAAGAGAACTAGTAAGTTAGTGTGGATCTCACTCTCGGGGAACTTACCGTCGCCTCAATTTAATAACGCAACATGCTGTAATATGCCAACCGAATAAGCCAGTGATCGAACCATTTGCACACGAGTGTTTAGAGACATAGGGATCATTTTTGAATAGCAAATATCGTGCTATATAACCTTTAAACCCGTTCGTGCTGAGATTGTTGAAAAAGCACTAAATCCATTCATAAGATGAGATTATTTAACTGACATGTCAAGTCACTCTGGTTTTCGACTCTGGTTCTGGTATCACACCAATTCCTCAATTAGAGAAGGATCTACAGAAACTGAAAAAAAATACGACACCAGCAGGACCTCAACCGGCATCCACATCGTATCGTGCTGTTGCTCTAACCAATTGAGCTGCCGAGTCCTGCCCGCGTCTTAAATATATTCTAAATCTAAACTCGATTTTTAAATTTTCTAGTGCCATCATGTGAAATATTAGTTTTCATAGGATCTACAATTATCAAGTTTTACGAATTCCAAAATAGATGTGGGTGGTTAGATTTCTTGCAATGGATTTGGTGCATTTCCAAAGACAGCCCTAATGCAAAGGTCCGTGGTGTTGAGGCGACGGCTACCGATCTCCGCACCTCCCTACCGCTGTCATGTTTTAGCAGATGCAGCAGCGGTGTACCTCGCTGCTGGTATAGGGCGGAGGCGCATTCGTTGGGACCTCACGACGCCGCGCCTCGCGTGCCTCACGCATGTTTGATAGCGACTCGTTACTGGACTCTGCGCCTGCAATCCATATCATTATATTAACATATCTGCGCCACCGACTTCGCCCGCGATTGTTTTGGGCGTCAAATTTTGTTTGAAACTAAAATTATTTTAACTACGGCCCAACGCTTCAGATGCTTTGGAGCAGCCGTGGTCACAGGGAGACGTCAAAGATGCCGGAACGTCGGGACGTAGTTAAAATAATTTTCAAATAAGTTTAACTAATATATTTCACGTTTTAAGCCGTTAAAGTGTTTTATTTAAATGTATATAGACATTTAGCCAACTATAACTAACGACGACGATGTTATCAAAAGGTGAATTTAATCTTAGCGTTATTCAATATAATACTTGTTAATATTTTAAACCGTATACCGTCATCTGAGTAGTCGTCGTAGCCGTGGGAATCGTCCGAGAACTGACTAGACGGGACTGCGCGGGGCGGCCGCTCAGCTGGCTCGCTCTGGTCATCATCACCCGCATTATCCTGATCTTCTGCGTTATCTTCAGGACTGGACTCCGCGCTGAGAGCAACAGGTATTAATTTTTCAGCGAATAAAGTTTACAAGAGTCTCACTCAAGTAATGACTGGTATTTTTAATTTAATGTTTTTATTGGTAGAGGACAAGCTTGGAGTTCAGTTGACGGTAGATGAAATACCCAGCCTTATAACATCTAAACTAGATGCGCTGACGATCTAATTTAGCTTTCAATATTCGAAAATCCAGACTGCAACCGAAACGCGATTTAACTTCAAGGCTTTTTCATCTGTGGACAGTGGTTTGTGATCCAGACGGAATTTCGATTTTACTACCACTCGTACAATATCCAGATATCCAGAAGTCCAACATGTTTGTGTCGCTTCTTAGTCGCATTTGACATTTGTGTTTCGTTTTCAGTCTGTAGATTTCCATAGCCAATGTAGGTCGACAGGGGTATTTCACCTTCCATCAATTGAACGCCACGTGTGTCTTCTCTATCATTAAAAAGAAAAAAAAATACCTTAGGTCCCCCGCCGCTGATGCCTCCGAAGTAATGAAGTTTCGGTCCGTCCATTCGTCTTCGTCTATCTCGAGACCGCCGTCCTCTGATAGTTCAATAAATATCCTTTCGGGTGTAACTTGTGGCGTTTCGTATGTGTAATCGTTCTTAGCCACGTTCTCGAGTAGGGCGTCATACGCCGTCGCATGACGTAAGCAAACAAGGCGGACGCCGAAACGCTCCCTCGTGTATTCCCTGTGGCAAAGATACAGTAAGTATAAAAAAGAAGTGTGTTTTTCTAAGTTAGCAAAAGACCACAACAAATATAGTCGATTTCTAACCATAGTGAACTAGTAATGCCCTTTTAAAGCTAGGATGGTTGCCCATTCGTTTTCGGCGAGATGCGCATATCCTTAATCTTCTTTATTCTATCCTTTTTTCCCCCAAATCTCCTTCCTATCTAAAATCTAAGTTTAAATTCATGGGTCCGTACGGTAGCTACGATTTGCGATCATCTGACCGGCTTATACTTGAAGTTCCCTCCCACAGCTCCAACTTTCTAGGCAAATCCTTTCAAATTACTGCGGTCAGGTTATGGAATACCTTACCCGTCTCCATTCGTATGGCGTCTTCCCTCCTATCCTTTAAAAAGCTCCTCTACAAGCACTTTATGTCACTTAATTACCCATCTGAATAAATTGTCACTATCTATTAATATTTTTACGCAATCCTTATTTTAGTTTAGTTTCCCTAGATAAGTTTTGAAATTGTAATGTAATTGTATGTAAGTTTTATTTTGATAAGTTTAAGATTATATTTAACATTGTACATTTTGTTTCGCCCACCTTGCACATCTCGTTTTCCCGTAAACTTTTTTCTCTTTCATCTTGGGTTGCCTGGAAGAGATCGCTCGTTAGCGATAAGGCCGCCCATTGCACTCCATATGTTTAGTATATAAGTTTATATTTTTGTTAATTTTTTTTGTGCAATAAAGTGTAAATAAATAAATAAAGTAAGTTGTTGCCACAGATGACATAGGTATAAAGAAATATCGATTATATATAGACCGTAGTTTGGTCAATATTCAAAATCACTTTTATGACAACTAAATTTTGAATTTCTTATGTCATTATTATTCAACTCGACGTTTGTAACGCTTTTAAGTAATCGTGCCGAATTGGGACTTCTGCCTTCTATTGTCGTTGATTTTGCTTACATCCCATCCTTATGTAAATGTCAAAGTAAAGATATTGTAATATGTATGGCCTTTTCCTTAAATTCATTTTTAGGATTTCTATTAATTTAATATGAAATTATGGTTTTTACTAAGTAAATTGGAGGTAATTCATTAGTTTAATGTATAATCGAATGTCTCACAGAGTTTTTATTGTAAATTGATGTAAACCTTGTGAAAAATCATGATTTCATGATAGATTGTTTTAAAATTTGTCCTTTTTGATTGGTGCGTCTTAGATGCATTAGCGGTTCTTAGATGCATTAAACACGAGATTTGAATATCAGGGAAAGACATAGTTCTATATAAGTAACATACCCGGGTTTGAGAACGTTGTTGCACACAGCGCAACGGAAGCACGCGCGATGAAACTGCATACCGTCGGCGGAGACGCTCTCGGCTGCGTACACGCACTCCTCACACACCGGACACTGCTTGCCGGTCGCCAACTGCCCGCGCCAAACTTTCTTCGACTATACAAATATAAATCACAGTAAGAAGAATATTGAGATGACGTCATCAAGGAGGAGATATGAAGTGGTGGTGATAAATGTATAAGCTCACAACATGTCTTAGGGGAGGCTCGGCTCGATTGAATTATCTTTCAAATAATTCAGTCTTGTGGGATTTATTAATTCAAAACTCAACAATAATTGCGGTTACTGTACTTAAGGCTGGGACTTTAAAAATATTTAATATCAAGACTATGTCTAAGTGTGTGTTAACAGGTAGATATTTAATTGCTAGCGATGCATGAATAGTTATTTTGGGCCGTTACCCACAACTTTGTCCGCGTCCCGTCTTGCAAATTAATCTTAAAATATAGACATATACGCGCGGACATTTTTTAGATCGTTTAAAGAGGCACCATTCTTCTATACATATTGGTTTAGTAAATTTAAACTACACTTACGTCTTCTTTCTGTTTGTTCTCTTGTTTAGGCTCGGGTTTGCCGCTCACGAACTTCTCCGCCAATTTTGCCACCTGAAAAGTTATGGTACTCATGGAAATGAAAGAGAGCAACCGGGTTTTAAGTCGATTAGGAAGTGATTTTTTTTATAATAAAGGAGAACAGACAAGCCTCGGGTTCACTCGATGGAAGGTAAAATACCGCAACCATGTAATATATATTGCGGGGAATTGTCAGTCAAGATTTCAAATTTATCGATAAATAATTTGTCGATTGTCTCAAAAGGCGTATTACTGTCTGAACGATTTCTTTAATGACAAGACAGCCTGGCAGTAATATGAATTGCTCCTCTTAATAAATTCACTACAATGTATTCGTTTAGAAGACATGTTAAAAAAAGCCGGACTGAGTTTCTTGGGTGTTCTTCTCCATTATGTTGCTCTTTTGAACACTCTGTAAAATCACGACGAGCAGACAGCCAAACGAAAAAAAGTTTTGACGAATCTAAATATTTTTTTTTAATTTTAAAGAGAATAAAGTATTTATAAAAGATGTGCTGCCGACCCATTTTGGCTTTGGATTCGTAAATCCACAGACCGAAACTTCACGGCTTTTCCATCTGTGGATCTGTGGCGAGCCAATAAATATCCAGATTTCCAGACGAAGAAGACGAAGAGAAGTCCAACACGTTTCAGTTAAAATAATATACTAACCTTTTTAGTACCATGTTGGGGTCGGCCGGTGTCACTCAATTTCAGGTCGATTTTTTGGATGGTGGTGTCGATTTCGTCCCACTTTTCATCATTCGAATCGCCTTCCTGCAGGCGCCGTTGTCTTCCTAGAAACTGGAACACGGACATTGGTTTTTCATGTTACTATTAGTAAAAGAAATGTAGATGACTTATGATAGTAATTCTTGATCGGTTAAAGGCATATACTAGGAACTATATAAATGTTTAATAGACTTCTTCAAATCGTCTAGTATTTCTATGCACATAATTTTAAAATTGTAATTATCGGACATAAGACATACAAACGGCTTTTATGTTACTAAAAGTAAACTGACGTGAGAGCTGTTTGTAATCACAGTCAGATCTGTTACGCTACGCATCGCAGTAGTTTTGTTGGGAGCAAGTTTCCGTTTAAAAAGTGTTTTATTTAAACATGTACTAATTAAAAGCTTACTTGTTCTCGATCCCACTTAGGAACTCTTTCTGCAGCGGACGGACCCGGCCTGCCGAGCCTATTCTCTGTGATTTTCCTCTCTATGAGTTTTACGTTCCAGTCTTGATGACTTATCTTCCCCACGGATCTCATTAAGTCTTTTGGCTTGGAAGCTTTGGGTGTAGGAATGGCTGGTGTGTTTGAAAGTTCCGCAGCAAGTCGCGCTACACGAATCCCACTACTACTTGCTTTCAACGGTTCATTTATGAGTTTACCTTCACCCTGAAAAAACAAATATAATATATTATATATGATATTATCACCACCATGTTCATGTTTGAAATACAAACGCCATCCCACCACAAAATTTTCACAATCTACCCCGCTTATAATACCTACAATTGCCTACATCATTCAGACCACCTATGAATATACGTTCCCATGATAGATATCTTATTTAATTTTCAGACAAGGGTTGCCTGGAAGATATCGCTGATAGCGATAAGGCCGCCAATAACTAGTATATATATATATATATATATATTTTTTTTTTTCTTTAATAGTTCTATTTTAAAATACATGTACTTTGTTTATCTTGCAATAGAGAGTTAATAAATAAAATACAATAAATAAATATATATATAACTCAAATGAAATATGTTAGTAAATAACCACAAGTAACAGCATGCAAAGGTAAAAATCCTCAACATTATCCTCTAGAATAAAATAACACACGAACGACACTCATTACAAAGGGAGCATCTAACCTATAGCCCGGTAACACCATTGTAATATTTTAGCTGCTTCTGCGTTAGGGCGGACTTCCTCCGTGGACGGTCGTTCGAGACCCGGACGGATTTTAGATGTCCAGCTTTCCAAATGAAGTCCAACATGTTTCAGAAAAATCATAAATTGATGAGAAACATTTTGGACCCGGTGGGGATCGAACCCATGATTGATTATTACCCGTACATAGCTACCATTACCATTGCATAGCCCGGTCCGCTAACACAGATGCCTCACGTCTGTTAGTTCTCATGCAACACACAATTCTCACATGTTGCAGTTTCGCCTCGAATTTCTGAACGCGTTCTTGAAACTTGGGCGCGCTCGCCCGGTATTGTTGTAGCCCGTAGTCGTTCTCCAGGTCGATCTGTGAAACCAGTTCCAGGCGGGGCTCGAGCAGCAGTAGTTGAAGGCTCTTCTGGTACCGCTGCTTTGTAATCTCGCGAGCAGCCTTCCGTCGCCCGGGGCTGCTTAAAGGCTGTGCTTTGTTCCTCTCCACCATATCGGCAAGTTTTTGCTTTTTACGAGCTATCTCGTCGGGACCACGTCTCTCTCGTTTCGTTTTCGTTTCGTTACATTTAGCCTTCTCAAATAAAAATTTTAAAAACTCCTTTTTCAAACTTTCAAATTCAGTATCTCGTGCTATAGATACAATTTGCTTGGGTATGTATGGTTGCTTTCCGTCTATGAGGTCCGCTATAGATTTCCGTAGATTTTCGATTGAATTACTCCGATTTTCAAGTACTATATCTTGACGGACAATTGTGTCGTTGTTTCGTTGCAGTTCAAAAAACTCTCGCCTTTCTCTCACACTGTCACTAGTTAGAGCCAGTAAGTCTGGCTCAGAAATTGTTCTTTCCCAAGTGGGGCTTTGTGTCATGCTTAAATTAGGAATAGATTGATAATGTAATATCTCTTCAAATGATTTATTTTTTTCTTGTCCCAATTTACATGGAGCATTGTCTATCATAGGTTCCACCTCGTATTTAGACACGTGGTCACCACAAAGGGCCTCGTAGCGAGGAAGTTTGATCGTTTCAGGGTCGAGCCCTTTAAGTTTCCTGGACGGTGGTTTTACTGTAACCCGTTCTTCGCTCCCAAAGAACTTGGCTATATTTTGTTTGGGGTTCACAGTGCAACGAATGTTTATATCGCGCTGCCCCATATCAGCCACAAGTTTTGTGAGCATTTCTCGTTCTGTAGAATCCCTCCTCTTCAACAGTGCAGTTATTTCTTCTTGTAGTTTGTTAATTTTATCGGTATTAAGATCTTCACTTGAAGTACTGGGGTGTGATAAGAGTCGGATTTCGTTCAAGTCTAATTTGTCGATTAGAGATGAAATGTTTTCAACGAAAACGTCACTTACTTTGCATCCCGGCGACCGTCGCTTTCGTTTGGGAGAGTGAGATTTATCTTTCTGCGCGGCATCTGAGCAGTGATAAAATAAATATTTAGATGTGCAATATACAATAAGATATGGTTAATCGAAGGTTCGACAACCCAGCCATTTGACACCTAAACAAGATGCGTTGTCGTTTCGGAAAAATTTAAAACATTTTGGGCCCGGTGTGAATTATATCTATATGACTTATTAAATTTATCTTGATTAATTGTATTCAGATAATATATTTAACAAACGAATTATAATTGAATATTTGACAGACTGAAAATGTGTTTCGTATGAGTTAAAACATTTTACAAACAGTAACAGTAACAGTGCATACGGTAGGTAAAAGAATACTACATCATTTTACATAAAAGACCACATTTATAGTTTAAAATGACCTAACAAATAAAATAATTTGAAATTATACGTACAAGTGTAAGCGGGTACCGATGAACGATAACTGTTTTTCTTCTGGATTATTAACTGAAAAGGTAAAAATAATAATTTAATAACACAAATTCAATTATCTTAATTCTCTACTGTTCGCTACTGGCAACAAATAATATAAAATTTTCGCGACTTTCAATCGGCGAAATAACAGAAACATTATATGAATTGGAAGAAAGCTTTGTGGCGCCAGAGGGCTCAATTTTGGGACCTTTTCTGTTCCTGGTATACATAAATGATCTCCCTCACCTCATAAGAGACGATCACGAGATAATTTTGTTTCCAGCACAATTGGTCCTGGGTTCGAATCTCTGAAACTGAATAGGTTGTTTGGCATATGTTAACTCCATATCACCACGTGTGCCAACTGTATTCTTGAATATTGCAATTAACAACTAAAATACTGACCTCGTTAAATAAGTTTGAATCGTGCTGGATATGTGGTACTTCGCCCTTGAACGCGTAAAAAACGCGCGTCAAAAAAGCGCGTATCTTCGATTCAGGTAATTCACTCAGGTCGTTTGATAACAACGGGATTCCTAAAAACAATATTATTGTAACTTTTTTGTATGATAGAGAGACCAAGCATTCATAAACGGTGATATACCCCAGCCATCTAGCTAGATGCGTCTTCGACCCATGTTGGCTTTGGGTATTAACAGCTTCGTCTGTGGATCGTGATTCGGGCAAAATTTAGATATTTCTACCGCCCACTCAACACCCAAGTTCTAGACGAAGTCACAAAGTACGTATAAAATAATGATACATCTTTAAAGGATTTAAAAAAATGTCCGGGACAGTATATGTCTATCTTTTAAGATTAACGTCGTGTGTAATTTAACTTCAAAAGATGAAGAGGTTTGCAAAAATTATGAAGCCCAAAATAACTGAATAGTTATTAATATATTGTTATACAATAGGATAGAGCTAACTGTAAATGTTGTCAGTCTCCATTACTACATACTCGTAGTAGCTTTTTCTGTCCCCGTGTACGCTTAAAACTATAAAACTACGCAACTGATTTTGATGCGGTTTTTTTTTAATAGTTAGAGAGGGATACAAGAGAAAGTTTTTTATATACAACGTTAAATTTTCCGCAGTGTATTTAGAATCAAAATGTATTACCAAAGTTATCATGTAAAAGAGTATAAATGTCGGTGTCCGGTGTTTCGTCTGTCAATAGGTCGGGCCGGTATCTCTTGACCAGGTCGTACAGCGCTTGGGGACTAGCAGCCTTGCGAATTCCCGGCTCAGCGTACCCAACCCATGCTATAATTGCTTCTTGCGAAATTTCCGGATCTGTGGACCAAAAAAATGTTCAGTTATATCTGCAATGAATAATTAACAATGGGACATTGAACCTTAATTCTTGACAGTTAAGGTTGTATTTGCATTGCGCAAGGGTTGACTATATGAAATTTGATGATGCCAATCACAAATGTAGTTAGAACTGTTTTTTCATGGTTGCGATGTTCGTCAGTTATGGGGGTATTGTTTTTTTAACGACATCTGAATGTCTCCTTATTTAAATTGAAAATTGACTCTGGCGGGCCTTGAACCGGCATCCACAGCGTTTCGTACTCTTCTAACCAATTAAACCATTTCTCACACGCCATCGTCTTATCGACTTGTATCGGCATCGTCAGCGTTCCGTGCTATTGCTCTAATCAATTGAGCAACCGAGGCCCACACCTCATCGTCGAATTTTTTCAACTTATTGATACGTGAACTTCTCGCGCAGTGTAATTTCAACCTTAGCACTTGCGCATTGAGTTATATTATATTATAAGATACGTTACCTCGTCGCCGTTTCTTAGGGGACGTTGTGATGTCCAAAGGCAAAGGATCATCCGACTGGTAGTAGCTTGTCACTTTGTTAGGGGTGACACACGTTCGATTCAAGTTAGGGTATCTTGTGCACGGATCCAGCGTGTACGCGCCAAAGTCGCGTTGCAGATTATCCGTCGTCGTTTGAGCTGGAACCAGATTTGTTTGGAAGGTTAGAACAGCTGAAGGTATTCTTTGTTACTTGCTGGAGTTAGGCAGCTACGCAGTCTTAACAATAATAAACGAGGTTTGACTTTTTAAACAAAATATAACTATGCCTCGACGTTGCGGATGCTTTAAGGCACCGTGGTCATGGGGGGTCATATTTCGCGGTGTAAACCATTAAATGTATTTTTAACGTAACCAAAAGGTTTGCTAACGTCAAAAATACATTGAAAGTTGTGGTAAATATGTTGTAATTTTCTTCAAAGCAATATGTCTACGGGTTTCCCATTTGCATCTTAAGCGTTATTGTTTGATGTTTCATTTAATCAAAAGTATATTCTGAAATCTATAGCCTCAAATGAGATCTGAACCCTAATAAACTAGAATTATAGATTTAAATACTGGCTATAGTTTACGCGAGTAGTACACATTTAAATAAAACACTTTAACGGTTTAAAACGCGATATATTAGTTAAACTTATTTGAAAATGATTTTTAACTTCCGCCCGACGTTTCTTCGGATGCTTTGCAGCAGCCGTGGTCACGGGGAGACTAAAAATGGAGGATGTCTCTGACGTCAAAGTAAAAAATTGCTAAGCTAACATAACATAACAATGTTATGTTGGTCTTTGGCCAGTTTCGCCAAATACCAACTTCGACGGAACAGATGGCGCTAGCGTAGCAATTTTTTACTTTGACGTCAGAGACATCCTCCATCTTTAGTCTCTCCGTGACCACGGCTGTTGCAAAGAATCCGAAGAAACGTCGGGCCGAAGTTAAAAATAATTTTCAAATAAGTTTAACTAATATATCCGTTATGTTTAACGGATTACCGTTAGCCAATTCTGCAAGGACCCGGCCAGTTTCAGTTTAAACCGTTAGTGTTTTGTTTAAACTATAGATTTGTCAATTACTATTCACTGATACAATAAAGTTTTTGGCAGCTTTTACCATCAATATTTCACGGAAATTTTTTAGAACATAAAATAAAACTAACGCAAAAGCCTGTAGATGCTCTCGCGCTCCGCAATCACGAGTAGGGGGTGTGGTGGGGGGTTTTGGCCCCAACTGCGCACGGCCCACGCGGCGTCCAGCGCCGACAGGAACCCGCGGGCACAGCCTGAACCCGTGGGCCAGAATGGCTCGAGCAGACTATCGCCAACCAGCTGACAGAGAATTCTTCTGCCGTGACGCTCGTATACCTTAAAAAGAAGATGAAATGGTAAAGATACAGTAGCTCCATTTGTTAAAGCACCGACGTGGATGGTTGTGAAAACAAAATATTAACACAATATTTCCTCTAGCAAGACAAAGCAAAGACGCTAAATCAAAAATCGCCTTAGATCCCCTGCGATAAAATAGAACAACTTCTCGAAAATCCTCGATTACCCTCTCTATACTAATATTATAAAACTGAAGAGTTTGTTTGTTTATTTTAACGCACTATCAGGAACTAAATATAATATAGGAACTAAAAAAAATGTGTTATTTTGTGCATGTTTGGAAAATGTGAAAACTTATTATAGAGAAAGTGTCAGACGAAGTGTCACTAGTAACTTTTGACGATGTATTTTTGATAGATTCTAAGGAACACTTTTTTAATAGTTAAAACCCCTGAAGTATTCACATTCATATACATTTGACCTGAAGTATTTTGCACAAATGGTGTCTCAGGGAATTTTTGGGATTTTATTTAAACTGAAACTCTACCAAATTTTCAAATCTGTGACACTGATCTATAAGAAAACTGACTATTTTGACTGTGGCAAAATAAGCGTTTACAGTCTTTACTGCATGATTTTTACTCTAACCAGTAAATTGCATAATACCAATTCGAATACTTACAATACTGGCATTTTCTGACGTGTACATGGTTGAAAAGTCAAACAGAGCCACATCTGGCTCGCCACTTTGGTTTACAGCGAAGTCGAGCGTTGGCAAACGATCGTTCGTCGCGTATTGCGCTGCCTCCCGCGCGTACTGCATCAGCGCATCTCTATCCATGTTCTCTTTGCTTATCAAGCGAGAGACTTCTGGGTAATCCTGCCAATGCAAAGAGGTTAAAGTAGCATACGTTTCTTATATGGAAAAATAATTGCTATGCATGTGTACTATGGATCTGTGCCCAAGCCCGGCCGTTTCCCTCCTTTTTTTTAAATGATAGAGAAGGGCAGACAAACATGGGGTCTAAACAAGACGCGCTGTCGACCTTTTGGATTTGGATAATCGAAAATCCACAGTCTAAAACCGAAACGTGATTAAACTTCACGGATTTTTCATCTGTGAATGGTGGTTCGTGATCTGGATGAAATTTCAGTATTGCTACCAATATACCCAGATTTCCAGACAAAGTGCAACAAGTGAAAAATGTTGGACTCGGTGAGGACCGAACCCGTTGATTATTAGCCATACAATGCCACCATTACACCAATGAGCTCGTCAAATATCAATACATAGCTACCTAGCGTAGTGTTGGTGGATATGTCAACCGGATATGTGGTAACGGATTCAACTCATTTTTTTATGGATGGATGCATTATATGGATGCTTGCTATGGACCATAGTCCTCACCAAACCCCTCGGTTTAGCTATGTGCACAGAAGATTACAAAATGCCCTTATTTGAGATGCTGATCTTCCCTTGCAAGGTGGAAACGGTCACATGTCTTCATACCGTAGTTAAATAGCACAGCACCTAACTCGATAGAAACATGATGCTAACGAATTGTTTGTACTCACGTATCGTAGAACTCCTTTTTTAATAAGACTTTGCTTCTTGGCCGTCATAACAAAGTAATGTGTGTCATCCTTGTAATAGACAATATTTTCCAGATCAATCCCTGTCGCAGCGTTCAGTTCGTTGAAAAACTTTTGATAGAATATGTATGCGACGCCGCTGATTTCTGGTACCTGAAAGGAAGTATAAATTGATCATTGAGGAGAAACTGCAGCTTGGGTTCTGTATATTCCTAGTTGATCTTTGTTAGAATTTTGGAGCTTTATCACCTCCCGGCAATAGATATCTTGTGTTTCTTCACGGTAATTAAGAAAGCACATCTCTATACTAATATTAAGTTGAAGAGTTTGTTTGAACGCGCTTATCTTAGGAACTACTGGTTTGAATTGAAACATTATTTCTGTGTTGGTTAAAGCATTTATTGGGGAAGGCTATAAAACATTGCACGTATATGAGCAAAGAAAAAACAAGAAATGTAGAAAAAAAGGGAAAAATTATGCATCCTCGTGGGTTTCCGTTGTATACGCTGAGAGAACGGTATAATTATTGCTCTTTGAGTGATAAGCTAAAAATATGTTTATCTTTCAAGATTAACTAGCAAGAACGACGGAACTCGGATGACTTTGAAGAATGAAGATGAAGCGGAGGTTCCATAATCAAATTTGGATGCCATAAAATTACCATTTTACCGCCGAAACAGCTTTGTTTAGCTAGTAGGATGATATAGCTAATGTATGAGTTAATTTACTTTTTCTATTACTACTTTTAGCATTGGTAGCTCAATAGCAGTCAAACTTACCGCAGCCTCTCGTTCCGTATGACGATTGATGAAATTAGCGGTGATCCCGATGGCCAACTTCCCTCTGAAGGCGTGCTTTTTAAAACCTTTGAGCGTGTTTCTCTTTCCGTCTGCGCCTATCAGCACGTCGAACTCATATTGGGATACGGGATGATCCGGGGAAACCCGCGCACGCCATCCTAGAACTGTCAATGTCAACTGTCAGTTTTAAACACATTATTATAATGGGTAGAACGGCAAACGATATAACTGTACTAATATTATTAAGCTGAAGAGTTTCTTTGTTTGAGCGCGGTAATCTCTGGCTCGATTGGGCCGAATTGAAATTTTTTGCGTCGGTTTGACCATTTATCGAGGAAACTTGTTGGCTATAAAACAACACGATGCGACCAATAAGAGCGAAGACAGATTGGTTAAAGTGAATAAACCGCTCTAACCGATACACAAATAATTAATCAATTCGAACCACTAGTTCCTGAGATTAGAGCGTACAAACAAACAAACTCTTCAGCTCGATATATTAGTACAGATTGCATAAGATAATGTTAAAATTCACTTACTTTCCTGAGTTTTTGATACACACGGTTGCAAAAGTTCTTCAAAAGCTACACCCTCAAATATTTCAACACCTAACAATAGTGAAACCTGAGGATAGATAAAATAGAATATTAAGTTAATTTAACGGTAGCTTATTTCTATCAGCGGGAATCAAATTATTGGATGAGCTCGTTGGTGTAGTGTATAGCTAATAATCGATGAGTCGTCCGTTCCAACATTTTTCTATTCTAAAAAAACATTCGGACTTCATCTGGAAATCTGGATATTAAATCGGAGGTAGAAATATTTAATTCCGCCCGGATCACGAACAACCGTCGCCAAATGAAGTCTGTGAGTAAAATCACGTTTCGACCAAACTAGATCCACAGTGCGTCTTGTTTAGATGTTATATGGCTGGTATATTTTATTTACCATCGAGTGAACTTCATGCTTGTGTGTGCTGATTTATCATAAAAAATTAAAAAGGAGTAAAATAATAATGTCTCAAAGTACAAAATATGATATGTTCTCTATCTACAGTCGAATATTTTTGTCATTCTACAGCCATATTCTAGTTTTGTTTATATACCGCTCTGATAACAATGATTTAAATGCGCATAGCTGCAACAAAAACAAACAAACAACTCACCTTCATCAGTATACATTGCAGCTGTCGTATGCTTATATGGTTGATGGAACCGGCGCAAAATTTCCCAAAGAACTTCTTCGCGCCGAGCGCCATGAGGTCGTGTATCACAAAAGGCCAGAGGTGCAGAACATTGTTGCGCGAGAGTCTGTCTCGTTTCTCAATTACCACCTCATGAAGAGCAATAAAAATACTGTCTGTAGCTTACGCGAGTAGTACACATTTAAATAAAACACTTTAACGGTTAAAATGCGATGTATATCAGTGTCCTCGTGACCAAGGCTGCTGCAAAGCATTATATGCAATAATTACATTTTTTGCATATAATCTCTGGTAGACTTCAAGAGTAGTAAAAACAAATGGAAAACAAATGATAACTTACCACTTTGGCACCCAGCAACTGACATTCTATAGCAGCTCGAAGACCACACGGACCAGCACCAATTATCATGACCCTGGTTTCTGGACAAATCTTTCCCTTTCCATACACTTTGTGATTCGCTCGAGCATCGAACTTCTTGAATAGCGCCTGCGCTTTCCACGAAGAAGCTAATTTTGCCTAAAACAAGTTGTCTACGCTCAAGAATCTAACAAATAAGATAAGCTTAATTCAATCTCTTTTATCTTATATCAATTAATATAAGAAAATTCGCGATACAAAAACTTAAATAGGACAAAGGGGAACAGTCAAAGCAGCTGGGTATGCAGTTTAACTATATTATAGTTTACATTATATATTTTATAGACATAGAAGTCTAAGATTAGTGATAATCTTAGACTTCGCTGATATTTAAAACGCAATTTAGGGTAGTCATGAATATTATCATTATACGATAAGAATAAATATCGAGCGAATTAATTATCTTACCAGCTTTGGAACATACTCTAGCACAAAATAAAGCATTTGGAATTCGCTGACGCACGCGGGTCTAGCGCGCTAAAGCAACACGAACATAAGTTTAATAATATATTAAGCTCTTCAGTGTTTACCTTCTAAGCATATGCTCTTCCGAGGACAAAAAGAAAAACAAATAAAATTGATTCACCTGAATTCGAACCAGCAATACGTCAAATGTAATGAAGAGAATACTATAAGTGTCGTGCATATAGTACAAGCCTATCTATATATAAAGAGTTTGTTTGTTGGTTTGAACAAATTTCGGTGGGAATTAAATTTTTTTTGTTGATTAGAACATTTATCGAGGATGGCTAAGACTATAAAACGTTGCGCTGCAACTAAAAGAGCAAAGAAACACCGGGAATATAGAGAAAACGGAGAATTATTTTATTCTGTGGGTTTCCGATGCGTACGCTGCGAAAATTCTTCAAGTTACCCAAAAAAATACGTGTGTAAGAATGTCCTCTTTGAATGGTCTGAAAATGATCATATACGTCTATCTTTTAAGTTTAACTCGCGTTTGTGTGACGCGACCGATTTCGTTGGCAACAGCTTTTTAATCTATAAAAATTAAGAGAAGGTTTGCAAAAACAAATTTGGTTACCCAAAATAACTATTCTACGCGGACGAAGTCGCAGACACAGCTAGTTTTTAATAATGTTATAAGGCAGAATATAAATATAGGAATGTGCTTATATAAAAGTTATGTTATTTAGTTTTAATAATTTCTGCAAGGTCGCGCAAAACATTTTTTAAATATATTAATCTTGATAGCAAGAGCTAGCAACTACACGTGTAAGGCGAAAGAATTTTTGTGCACCCGTATATAGGGCATAAAGAGTACAAAATAGGAAGTTGTGAATTAATTGTTAAAGAATGTATGCGTACTGCAGAACGCGTTCTTTATCTGTGACGATTGGACTGTATTTAAAAAGATAAATTTATTAATGATATCACATTTCTAGACTTATCAGTTACTTTCAATTATTTATCTATTTAACTAAATAGATAATTATTTGGAACTAAATTCTAATGACAAAATGATCCAACTAAGTTTTTTTATTATTTTAAGGCTAGTTGTGAAGCATGTATGGAGTGGGATAGGTTAGTTTTATCAGCAACAAAAACAATCGCATTTTTACTTAGAAACAACTTCAAACAATATTTCTTAGTCTACTCTAAGAGACTATTATGAAGTGGAAATACTGTCTGTAGTTTACGCGAAGAGTACACATTTCAATAAAATACTTTAACGGTTTTAAACGGGCTTTAAACCTTTAGTATTTTATTTAAATGAAATGGATGTTTTCCATGTTCCGCAGAGTCATGGACAGATTGAAATACAGACAACAATTACACATACCTTAAGCTTTGGATAAAATTCTGGTAGCCTGTTGGGTTTTAAGTTGAGCGTGTTGCAAATTTCACGGTGTAAAGACAATATCTGCTTCATTGTGATGGCTGAACAAAAAAGATCAAACATCTCCGCAGCCAGAGCACATTCCGGGGGGGTGGGCCCCGCCGTCACACCCCTGTTCATGTTAGATCTGTAACAAACACAAAATAGTTCATATCCTTCATCGATATGTAAATGAAGACCGATCATAATTCCTCACTTGTTGTTTTGAATCAAATGTTTCAACAAGATCATGACAATATCAATAGAAATATGAGGCTACTTAGAGGCAGAGTAGCCTAACTACAATTTTACGACTTGGCTTATTTATATTTTTATAGCTTAAAAATGTTAATCTACAAATGCACAGTCACCGCAAAATTTTAATAATTCTTACACAAGTAATAGAACGATTTCATTTTCGGCCGAGTTAATTGCACATGTTTATTTTCCTTCTTATTGACATTTTTTGTTATTACTATGCCTCTAGCCTCATATACCAATGCCAATGCCACTTTTAAATATTGTGGACCTAAGCACTAGGTTACAAACTAGTATTAAATGAAAAAAAACGAATAAAAGGATGCTAAATACAACGTCAGTTATTAGACAGATTCATATATAAACACAGTTATTGTTTTATTAACATCAAAATTATATCACAATATTATTGTTTTGATGGACTGTTTGAAATCCGTTTTTTTATTGAAAAATATTTATTATTATTATTATTGAAAGTAGTTAATATATAACTAAAATAAATCAATATACCTATTACTTTTTGTGAAGTGCACTTATTTACATCTGTAATTTACTGTTTAAAATCAGTTATTTTTTTAATGAAAATTTATTTTATTAGACCCGAATGTCACAATTAAACCAAAGACAAAATAAATATATAGTCTAAAGCATAAAAATTCCTTATCTATATTATTACTACATTTTATGCAAATCCAAAACTGGTATATACTTAAAATAACTGAAGGAAACATAGAAAATTCAATCTGATTTCTATTAAAATAATTGGAATTATAAACTATATTAAATTGAAAATGGAATGGACCAATTTTGATTGATAAAAAGAGCTAACTTGGAAATGTTTTATAATTACACATTTATGGGGAAATAAGTGAAATGGTTAGCTGCTAATGTGGATTGCCTACTGTTGGTGTTTTGGTAAAAAGAAAAAGAAAAAGTAATAATCTAGTGTATTTTCCAACTTGGCAAAAGACTACAACAAATATGGCCTATTTTAAACCATAGAAGATGCCCTTTTATAGAGAGTAGTCATAGTCACAGATAACACAGGGTTAAAGAAATATCTTTAAACCAAAAAATCTTAAACTTCAATATTGAAAATCACTTTTATGACTACTTATTTATTAATTTTATATATTATTATTATTTAAGTCGATGTTTGTAACGCTTTTCAGTTATCGTGTTTACTGGATGGACGGAATGGACTTTGGGGTTACTTAGGGATGTTTACCTTCTATTGTCATTGACTTTGCTTACATCCCATCCTTATGTAAATGTCAAACTAAACAAACTTTTAGTATTTTTATTAATTTTAGTGTGAATTTGTGATTTTTTTAAGTGAATTTAGAGTTGGTCATTAGTTTAATATATATATATTACAATGCCTCAAAATGTTTTTGGGTAGATCAATGTAAACTTTGTGAGAAAATCATGATTTCATGCGAATTGTTTTGTTTACCAAGAATGCCAAGTAAAAACAATACACTACAAATACACCATAGTACTTGTAACATAAAATTTTGTATAAGAATGTATTTAAGAGTCATAATTTTTAGCATAGATGCATATTTTTGTAACAAATTATACCTGTTTTGGAATATGAATCATTCATTTATAGTATCTAAAAGCAAACCCTACAAACAAATAATTTATTATTATACCCCTAGTACCATGAATAAAACCGATGCTATCTGGCGTTATGCCAACTACACTGAGTCAGAAGTTCGTGTATGTTAGAAAAATGTTGAATGAAATTAGCCAGTTAAAATTTTAGTTTACTTAAACAGTTGGTGAAAGTTGTGTAAGAGGTGCTTAATTATAACCTAAATAATCACAATTTATTCATTATTAACGGTGAAAGTCTTATTACAATTTGTTCCATAACAAGCACTTGTTATTCTGAATCATTCATTCCATTCTCATTACTGCAATGTGTGAGATGCAAAGATTGTTAAAAAAGTATTTAATAATAAATACCTTGTATTTATCTAGTGATAAATTGTAAAGTAAATTGTTTCACTGAATAATATAACCCTATTGAGCATAATGATTATTTGGTACTTATTGGTAAAAATCAGACTTGATCAGCTAATTAAAATACATACAAAAACATGTTTCCTGAAAAGCAATTGTAACATACTACATAATCTACCTATTATCTAAGTATTGTTGGAAGATATGAGGATAGAACAACGTTTGGCGTACAAAGAGCATAATACACATTTTATAGTTTTAAAATACGCAGGTAACAATCCACCAACTTATTCACAAAGTGGGTAAATGACTGTTTTAAAAATAGATTCGAGAAAAGAGGGCAGCTTTATTTGATGGTTTATCTGGCTTTTTGGCAACATATCGAAAGCATTTATTATATTAATCCGAAAGGAAAGACTAGAATAAGAATCCTTTGTCATTTCAGCGAAATAAAGAAATGGGTTTTACAGAAATAAATTTACGCGACCGTTACACGAGGGAACACAATAATCAGTCTAAACTCGTAGATGATTTGGGTAAATTATTTTTACGTATTAATAATTAGCACTTACTTGTAATTTATGCACGTTGTGAAGTAGGATATCCAGATAAATAACAATTTTTGCTTTCATCTCGCCATCAGTCCATTCGCAGTCCACCATCGACCATCTTCCCTTTTCGAAATTTTGATCGCTTTTGACAAATGACATTTGTGACATCCACTTATGTACCTTCTTCTTCCACAGACAATATTTTTTTTACAGTACGGATACAGGTTAGATAAGAAAAAGTTTACTTGGTATTTCCACAGATAATATATTAATTCTAACAAGTAATTTATATACTACTGAATGATTAGACAATGTTAACATTGACATTGATGGACTCAACAGATTTTACTTTTCATAATACAATTATTTTAAATATGAGATTCTTAATTATATTATAACAATTTTTTCTTGTAATATACAATACACTACGCAATAAAAATAAAGTTTTACACAGTTAAACATTGTGCAATGAATGTAGACTAAACTTTAATTATTTAATTTCGTTTACAGTACGATCCTTTACCTTTACATTACCGCGATTGCAATCTTCGTGTCAAGTGTACGTAAGAGGTGGCGCTGATAGAAATTAAAAATTGTATTGTATGTGTGTATCGATCAATAACGGGTTTGTAGGATATTTTAACTATCATTATAGTTATTGTTATTACTTATTTTAGTCATATATTAGTTATGACTAACTAAAAGAATAACTATAGTGTTACTAGATGATATCGATAAATGAATGAAATAGGTGTCATGTTTATTACATTTAAAATCCCTTATATTTGTTTGAATTTTATAATTATTATCATTTAAAAAAAAGCTTTAGAATGAATTTCACTACTTCCCTTAATCATATTTGCAAGTTAAAAGGTGGTATCGAATAATTATACGCACTTGTTTAGGTCACTAATTTCTGTTGGATCCTTATTTTAACCAGAATAAACAGAAAATGTTTTTTATTTATTTTATACTTGTTTGTACTTATAGTTTTTTACCGCCGGCTATTAGAATATTTTCCTGTCTCTCTCTTCTAAGAACCTACTATAAATTAATTAGAAGTCAATGTTAAAGTTAAGTAAGTAATGTAATCATTTTAGAATTAGCTAGTTAATGACTCTTTAAATCCAGTAAAATTAATGGCCATGTATTGCAGCACTAGTAATCATACTCTAAATTATACAGACAAGTTTGCTTTAGAAGTAATTGCGAATATTAACCAGGCATACAGGATGTAACCTATATGTTAGAGAAATTGAGTATTTCGAACTTAAGCTTAATTACTCAGCAGATCGGCTCTTCGCATTAGTTACTACTAGATGTGCCCGCGTGGAATAGTTATTTAGCATATTATTTATTTTTTAAACTACCTCCTCAATGTTTTAAATTGTAGCGGTTACCCACGACTTCGTCTTCGCCCCGACGTTCTTGTGAATTCATCTTAAAAGATTGTTGTTGTGTTTTTGTTCATTATTTAAATTCTTCTTTATTACATATTTCTTGAATCATCTTCGCAGCGCACCCAACGGAATCAAAGACGAATAGATTTCTCCGTTTTTTTCCACGTTTCCCAATGTTTTTGCTATCATTGGTGTCGCAGCCTGATGGTTGTGACACCAATATCAGCTGTTTCCTTCCTGTATCAATTCTCCAACAACACCGAAATTATTTTTCCAATCGAACCAGTAGTTCGTGCAAAGTAACAAACAATCTCGTCAGCTTTATAGTATTAGTATAGACATGTGTGTACACTTCAATATAGTAGATTTTCTATTTAAAAATGTTAAAAAAATCCACATAAATAAAAATGTATAATTGAATGTGTATAAGTAAAATAATTACAAATGTTTCTAATTTAACATTGAAAAAAGATCGAACGTCGACGTTTGCCCTTTCTTTGGCTGATCAGACCTCTTGACCCCAGAATCCAAACACAAAGGGCCATACAAACTCAGTAAATTATGACATCATCATGTAGATATATGAAATGTTTAAAAGCAATTTTTTTTTAATACTTAGTAACAGTTAAGGGCCGGAGCTTACATTGCAACACTAAAACATGAATTACATGAAGTTTGCTGTAGATAACTACGACGAGGCTAAGTAAGAACAATTATATTCATTATTTTTATAATAAATAAGAATACAATCATTTATTAAGATGATTTTAAAATATACAAAAAATACAAACTATGAACTAAATAAACGTAAACAAGTTATATAAATTTATAAGGCTTAAAAATTTAACAATGGCAACTGCTGAAACTATACCGACACAGCATAACGTTACGAACATGCTTGTGTTGCAACACTGAATTTCAGTGGTCCGTGGCGCTACCGCCTCTAAAGCAAAAAATATAAAAAAATAATAAAATTTAAGCTAAAATAACAACTGATGAACAAATCCTATTCTACAACTGTGCCTTGCTCGACCGAAACTATTATGTTACACCTTAATGTAAAGTCAGGACCTCTAGTGATTCAGCCGTGACCTCGGTTTTATGGACCGACCCGGGAGACGTGGCCATCAACCGGCCACATAGGGCGAGCCGCGCGCGGGAAAGACGGGCACGGGCGTACGGGTCAAGGGCAACTAACCGCTCTCACCTGCATCTGGCAAGTCTCGCGTCGCCTCCTGGAGGTTTTATGGGTAGTGGCTAAGCTGACTGACCACCACACTCCCTCCGCCACTGTCTGTAGCCAGGCAGGGGCATCGGTAATGATTCGATTCCTCCAATTAAAAAAAGGACCTCTAGTGATCAACAATCCAAAAGGATTGTTTATATCCTAAAAAGGATATAACAAAAATGCAGTGTACCTTATTCGTTATTGTGTCTTCACAGAAGGGAGGATCCACTACAATACAAATATATGAGAAACCTGCGACTTTTCTCGTACACTTATGGAATGTGGCCGGGCGATGCATTAGGTGAAAATATGTCGATGTTTTTCCGCCTGTTCAAAAAATACGTGCCGTTTCAAGCGACCGCTATATTTATCGGCGAAATCATTTACCTGACGAGGTACGCTAAGGTCCTGGATTTCTTCAACATCGGCGAAGTATGGATCACAACGTGTCTAACTGTCGTGGTTCTTGTAAGTTCGAAGAGATATAATATTTAATGCTACAGAGTCAACATTCCTGGTGTTTCAATTGCAAAGATTATCTCGTTATCTATACTAATATTATAAAGTGTTTGTTTGAACGCGCTAGTCTCAAGAACTACTGATTCAAGTAGAAATCGTTTGGTCTTAGATAGACCATTTATTGAGGAAAGCTATAGCCTATAAAAAATCTGCGGAAAATGTGGGACAAATTATTCATCTTTGTGGGCTTCCATTATGTGCAATGCGCAACGGTCCAAGATACCCAAACGATATGTAGAAAAGAATTCTTCTTTAGAAAATGTATAATTAAAAACTGTGGTAATAAGTTAGCTAGTGTGTTATATCTATACTAATATATAAAGCTAAAGAGTTTGTTTGTTTGTTTGAACGCGCTAATCTCGGGTTCGAACTGAAACTCGTTTTTGTGTTGGTTAGAAGGGATTTGGTGTACTTATTTCTTATTACCACTAACTGTGATCGAATTATAATTTGACCGCCTCTGTAGCTACATGGTTAAACGTCTTGCCTAGCAGTCGTTAAGCACGAGAGGACCTGGTTTGAATCCTGGGAAACAATAAGTCGATCTGTAGTTTCCGTCAGGCAGGGCAGAGTAATCTGTTCCAAATACTACTTGCCTGTAAAAAAAAACAATCAGTGATATGAATATAGGAATGTGTTCGTCCCATGCCCCACGGGGCACATAATTCAGTTTTAATTGTTATCGTGTTTAAATAAAGAAATTATCTGTTTCATAACATAAAGTACAGCTAAAATAGATAATTAAAAAAATAATAATGAAAATAATTTAAAAAAGTACAATTTTGACTTTCTGCCTACTACTGTCTACCTATGTTACTTGTAAGTCCATTTTGTTTTAAGGCAAAATAGTTTATGCTTGGAGGTCAGCTATATTTTTGGCTTCATCGAACATTCGTTTTGTTAAGGTACGGATGGTATACGTCAATCTAAATGCATACGGCCTGTTATGTAAGACATTTCTGCAGAAGTTTCATTTGGGAAACTATAAACACCTGGGAGGAAATTTTAAAAAGGTAATCGTACAAGATATGTATTCTTTTTATATGCACAAAACTAATAATTGTAATGGAATTATTTTTTTCTCTTCCCCTTTGATCCCTTTCTATTACTGAATTAAATAAAAAAATATACTTTTTTTTACTAAGAACTTAAATTAAATTTTGCAAAAAGAAAATTATATAGCCTATAATCTTCCTTGATAGATATCGAGTAAGGTTATAGGCTATAACATCGCGCTGCGAGTATTATGAGCAAAGGAACAGAAAACGGGAAAAAATATTCATCTCTGTGGGTTTCCGATGCGTACGCAGCGAAATCGTTTCAAGATATGTATGAAAGAATGATTCCTCTTTAAATTATCTAAAAAAAAATCCGCGTTGCGATATGTCTATCTCTTAAGATTACAAGAACGACGGAACGCGTCCGACGTCGTGGGTAGTTTGAAAGTGGAAGAGGAGGTTTGCAAGAACAATTTATGATGCCAAAAATTACTATTCAACACGGATGAAAGCGCTTACACAGCTAGTGTTTTATACATTGCAGGTCGCTGAACAAGTAGACACAATATCCCACTACTATGTACTGGCAGTCATACCTGTTCTACTAAGTGTCATTCTACTGTACAATGTGCCATCGTTTTGGGAGAACGTGTCTCATGGCGCGTTCCAAATGCCGACACCACATAATATAACGCTTCGTTTCTCTATTAACTACGAGTTCCCTGGATTCAAATTGGAGGATCATTTTATATTTGTGACGATACTTAACTTGACCGTCTGCTATGGTTGTACGGTGATCATCCGTACCATGGACCTTATGCTTATCATGATGATGTTTCAAATCATTGGTCACCTACTCGTACTAAGACGCAATCTGAATGATTTCCCCGTACCGAATAATGTGACTGAAATTAATATAGGGAGAAGAAGATATACTGTTAAGATGTTTAGTAAGAAGGAGAACGAGTTTTTACATCGGCTTATCGTGAAATGTGTTGACCATCATAGATTTATTGTGGTGTAAGAATTTTTTTTTTTTTTGGGTAGATGAGGAGACAGACAAGAAGAAGATGGAATGTGAAATACTCCAGTGATATAACATCTGAAATATATTATGTGCTGTCAACCTTTTTTGAATATGCAAAAATCCACAGACTACAACCGAAACGAGATTAAACTTCCTCTAGACATTTATTCGTGACCCCTTTAATATTTACATTTCCAGACGAGATCCAACATGTTTCAGAAAAAGTTCCAAAAACAAGCACGTTAGAACCGATGGGAATCGAATCCACGACCCATTACTATTAGAAACCAACGAGCCTATCAATTTATTTCTGAAATGATTTGACCTTTATGAAAATGTATTATTCTTAATTCAAAATGTTTCATTTCTTGTTATTTTCAGGTTCGTAGACGAGATCACAACATTCTTTGGACCGTTGCTAGCTTTTGTATGTCTGTTTCAGCTTTTTTCGTCTTGCATTCTGCTACTTGAGTGCTCCAAGTTGGTAAGTTGGTAATTCACACGGACATTTACTGTACTTGTAGCGATTTACGAGATGTTTTATCCTTAATCACTAGAAACTACTAGACAACAAAAGCCTCTAGTTACACTTTTTTTTAACTCACTTGATGGGAGGTGAAATATCCCAAAATCCCTGCACGTTCCCATAATATATATCTTATTTTATTTTAAAACAAGGGTTGCCTGGAAAAGATCGCCGTATAGCGTATAAGGCCGCCCACTCCATAACTAGTAATAATATTTTTTTTCTCTAATGTTTGATTTTTTTTGATACATTTGTATGTACATACTTTGCGTGTGTTAATTCAAGCATTTTTCGTGACCCGGTCAGAATATCGTCATCATTTAATACCCAGATATCCAGACGAAGTCCAACATGTTTTAGAAAATATGAACCTTAATAAACTTTGTTGTTTACAGGACTCTCAATCGCTGGCTCGCTTTGTACCCCTCACTATAGTGTCAGTTACCCAACTCCTAGAGATTTCTATTATCTTTGAGATCGTCGGATCCATGGTAATTTATAATTAAAGTTATAAGCATCAAACTACACTGAAATAATACAAAAATACATCAAAATTATTTCAATAAAACAAAGAGCTAATTATATTGTATTAAGCCGGGCCTAAATAAAGGAAACAAAACAATTCGAAATTGGAATATATTTCTCAATGTCTCGAGCGCTATCTATACTAATATAAGGCTGGAGAGTTTGTTTGTTTGTTTGAACGCGCTTATCCCAGAAACTACTATTTTTACTACGAGGAAGGCTAGTCATAGGCTAGTCATAGGCTATATATAGCTGTTTATTAGGCTGCGATTAATAAACAGCGATTATGTGGTGAGAATGGTAAAAAATATTTATCTTCGTGGGTTTCCGCTGTACGCGAAAACGGTTCAAGATACTAAATATGTATAATAGAATCATTCCTCTTTAAATGGTCTAAAAAAATGTCCACGACACTATATGTCTATAACCGAAGGGCTTTCCGGATAAATGATCTATGTAATAAAAGAAGATTTTTCAATTTGTACCGGCAATTCCTGAGACTAGCGCGTTTCAACAACAAATCCTTCAGCTTTGAACTATTTGATAGAGTTATTAGTAAGTGTATTAAGTGTTTGAGGTCTAGAGATTAACCTAAAAATATTTGGTTAGAAAAAAATATAAACAAATGCACAAACACATCTTCTTTTCTATAGCACAAGTCCTTCACAAATCAGTCATAAAAAGTTTTGTTACTTTTCTCGTCAGGTAAGTGCTAAGTATGTGGATATCTATACGCGATTTTTATAAAAATTGCTTCTTTCACACTTGAAGCTATATACCAATATAGACCCAATAATATCTGAGACTTACAATGCTATAAATGTATAACACTAAAGAACATTGGCTTATTGTAAGCAGTAAACACGGATAACTTTTGTCAAGGTTGTAGCAAGATGAAATGAAGTTACAGGTGACCTTTTTGGTCGCAGCCGACGCTGATAAGCTTGGTTAGGACTTAAGAAAAACCTAGTGGTACCTGTCGATAACAGTTAAGCTGTTCTAGTGAACAACGTAAAGAACTAGTTAGTTTCAGTATTGAATAAGATTCACAATTCTTTCCGACGTGATTCGAACTATAATGTATTCGTAGTTTTATGTTAAAAATAACTAAAACGATGGCATGACAACTAAGCGTAATCTTTTAAATAAAACGTTACATATTATTAATTTATTAAACTACTAATTAGAAAAGACAAATATCAACTACGACAAAGCAGGTGGCGTTAGCAGACTTGACTTTTTATTTATGACACCGTCCATCTTAAATCCCCCCGTGACCACGACTGCTGCATAGCATCCTAAACGTCGGCTCGTAACAAAAATAAATTATCAATAAGTTAACTAATACATTTCCCCTTTTAAACCGCTAAACTTCATATAAAAGCAACTTACGTCTAATTACGTATTATTTGGTTCGTTAGGACCGCCTCTGTAGCCAAATGGTTAAACGTATTGCCTAGCATTGCGTTACGTGCCAGAGGATCTAGGTTCAAATCCCAGGGAAACAAAAAAATGTTTCGGTCGGGCAGGGCACAGAAGTCTGATCAACTACTAGCCTGTTAAAGAACGGATCGGTGAAATAGACACAGAAATGAGTTCGCCCCATGCCCCACGAGGGGGAAACGGGATTTTACACTCACACGTGTATTGTTTACAGAGTGAAAAACTGATGGACGATGTATACAATTTGCCCTGGCAATATATGGATGTGAAAAACCGACGCACCGTTTCAATTTTCTTGAACAGTGTTCAACGGACAATGCACGTCAGTTGTTTGGGGATGATACCAATAGGTGTTCAAAGTATGGCAGCGGTAATGGCTTATGTTATTACATATTAGATTTCACGTGTACTTTTACACTAGACAATGAACGAAACAATAGCTCTGGATGTCAACCTTCAAAGCGAAATTCATTTGTTATAAGCACTAGTGACTAGACGTCTCCCGTATATCTTTCATCACATTTCTTTTCAAACATATAGATACTTTTTAACTGGTAGGACTTAAGTGTACATAGTTAATAAATGATTTATGTCTTACTTCAATATTTTTGCTAAATTTTTGTCTGTAATAAAGTACGAGTATATTCTACTAATATACAATCAATCGGCATTTTTTCGGAACTACTACTTACTAGCATGCGATGCACTTGACCGAAGGAGAAATACACCAGCCTGTTTTAGCTTTGAACATTCGGAAATCCACGGACCTGTGGACGGTGGTTCGTGACCCAGACGGAATTTTGCGAAATTTATAAAATGATTGTAATAAATTCGATGTTTTTACAAGTACATTTATTAGCAATATGCTTGACCCGGTGGGGAACGAACCCATACGAAGCATTCGAAACCCAGGACCTAGTTAAATTAAATTGAAAATGATACCTAATATATTTCTCGTTTTAAACCGTTAAGAGTTTTTTTCAAATGTTATGTTTGCATTAATTTTTATAGTAATGTAAGTATTACTATGTGTCAAGGAAAGCATATGCAAGCAAGGAGTGGATAAAAATTTTGAAGTTCCGTCGATCTTTAGCGTATTTTGTATTTTTCAGATCTTAAAGACATCGTTTTCCTATTTCACCTTTCTAAGAACCATCGACGACTAAAGCTCATATTTCCCTTATTTCTATTGATAATTAACACAAAGTGACGTAATCATTAGTGACGTCATATCAATTGTCGGAATTATTAAAAGTGTAAATTCATTTAGTAAATATGTAGATCATAGATCGAAATTGTATTTTCTTTCTCGTTGCATATGTTACATAAATCTACGCTTAATTTGACTATCCCTAAACGCATTAAGCGCGGGTAGCCTGGACGATCGGACGGTCGATTTCCGGGAGAATAATTAAATTATGAATAAACAAAGGTAAACGAATTAATCCGTAAAAATGGGACAGAAAATTGTTTTCCTAAGTCCCTGAAGGGGCTTACTTTCTTTTTTTTTACTTTTGCGTGCTGTTTCATTTCAAACGTCGCTTATCTAAGAGTATCTATACTAATATTATAAATAACTACTATTTTAACTTGACAAACTATTTTAAGTTGAATGAACCATTTATCGAGAAAGCCTTTGGGCTATAAAACATCTGGTCGCGACGAATAGCAGCGAATAAATAGAGGGAAATGTGGAAAAGAGCGGGAAAAATAATTCATCTTTAAGGGTTTCCTCCTATCCGGAAACCCTTAAAGACCGCTTCTGTAGCCAAATGGTTAAACGCATTGCTTAGCATTGTGTTAAGCGTGAGAGGTCTTGGGTTCGAATCCTAGAGAAACATAAAATTGTTTCGGTCGGGCAGGGCACAGAAATCTGATCAACTACTTGCCCGATAAAAGAACGGATCAGTGAAACGTACACAGAAATGTGTTCGCCCCATGCCCCACGAGGGGGAAACGGGCTTTCAGTAAGGGTCTTTTGTGTGTGCTGCGAAGACTGTTCGAGGTACCCAAAAAATAATTAGGAAAAAATGATTCCTCTTTAAATATAAAAGCTAAAATATATAATAATATTTCACCTCCCATAATGTCCGATACGAGTACCTTTGAAGAAATTTGTAGATTTAACTCGCGGGATACGGACGACGTCGTTACTAACAGCTATAATTTGTGAAGCAAAATAACTCCATGCGGACAAAGTCGCGGACATAGCTAGTATAAGCATAGCATAGGTGTTCATTATAGACGACAAGCCATTAGAAATGGTAACATGTCTTGTCTGAAGAACCGTATTTTAAAATGACAAAAAATTATCAACAACCATTACGGAGACAGCGTTAATGGCTCACCCAACCTTGTAACGTATGTCCACTTTGTTTGATAACTTATCGTCAACTTAGGAAATAGTTTCGAAAACTATGACCTTTCCTTACTAGACATAGTACAGGAGATATATCGGATACTACTATACAGGGTTATTCCTACTTCATACGAAACCTGAAAGTAGTTTGTTCAGAATCAGTAGCAGAATCCATTCCAATAGTTTTTATACCACGTTATATTTTTTGTCAAAATTGTATGAAATTTTTGAAATCCTGGACAAAGTTCGATAAATAAATTCCTACATAAGTATAACTCAAAAGGTATAAAAATTCGGGCAAGCCGCGGCGGCCGCTCGTCGCTTTGAACTAACCATTACCGCGCGCGCGGGCCCCCCACTCTCAGTCTTTAGTCTAGAGTCAGTGCGTGCGCAACCCTTTCGCGGTGATTACGTAACAACTTTCTTCCGAATTGCAAGCAAGCGATTGCGCATCCCACGGGCGTCTCGTCGTTTCTCGGTGATTTTTTTAAGTGTGTTAAATACAAACATGTCTTACAATTATACCAATGTACAATATGTGGAAATGGTGCGAACACTTGCTTTGTGTGGTGATAATGTTGCCGAAGCAGTGAGACGTTATCATTAACAATTTGGCATCTTGGTATCATGAAACACAATGCTGAGCGTTACGCAGCGCTTACGAGACCATGGCCAGTTCAGACCAGTCGCAGTAGACAGAGGCGAGGAGATTATTCAACGTAGGTCAGTCTTATGTGTGGTGGACTTTATACCTTTATCATTTTAGACGAGCACAAGAGCTGCTCGAAAATGATAAAGCCCAAAGATTCGTTAAATTAGTGTAAATAATGGTGATTAAAATTTTCTCTTTGTCTCAATAATGAACGCTAGACTTACATGCCGTTTAACCATTCTGACAATCCAAAGCCTGTATATGTGAGGGAAAATGTTATTGCCAAAAGTTCTGAATACATTCTGTGAGCTGACAATAAGTACATAAAAGTAGTGAATCGTGTAGTGTAAGGTGCAGGACGCGGAGCGGAGGAGAGGGAGGGGGTGCGAGACAGCGCGCTGCGCCACCAGTGACCATGTGGTTGCGGGATAAACAATAACATGAAAAAAATTCTTAACTTCGTGAGTTTTCATTTCTTTTTAATTTTGATTTTTTATCCTGATTCTGTGAATAAAAAGCCGTTTGGC